AATGCTCTAGCAATAAAGGAAATGCAAATTAAAACCACACTAAGATTCCACCTCACCCCTGTTAGAATAGCCATCATAGCAAACACCACAAAACAGGTGTTGATGAGGATGCAGGGAAAAAGGAACCCTCTTACACTGTTGGTGGGAATGTAAACTAGTACAACCACTCTGGAAAAAAATTGGAGGCTACTTAAAAAGCTAAACATTCATCTACCATTTGAACCAGCAATAGCACTCTTGTGGATATACCCAAAAGACTGTGACACAGGTTACTCCAGAGGCACCTGCACACCCATGTTTATTGCGGCACTATTCACAATAGCCAAGTTATGGAAACAGCCAAGATGCCCCACCACTGGCAAATGGATTAAGAAAATGTAGTATCTATACACAATGGAATTTTATGCAGCCATGAAGAACAAAATGTTCATTCGCTGGTAAATGGATGGAATTGGAGAACATCATTCTGAGTGAGGTTAGCCTGGTCCAAAAGACCAAAAATCGTATGTTCTCCCTCATATGTGGACATTAGATCAAGGGCAAAACAACAAGGGATTGGACTTTGAGCACATGATAAAAGCGAGAGCACACAAGGGAGGGTGAGGATAGGTAAGACACCTAAAAAATTAGCTAGCATTTGTTGCCCTCAATGCAGAGAAACTAAAGCAGATCCCTTAAAAGCAACTGAGGCCAATAGGAGAAGGGGACCAGGAACTAGAGAAAAGGTTAGATCAAAAAGAGTTAACCTAGAAGGTAACACACATGCACAGGAAATTAATGTGAGTCAACTCCCTGTATAGCTATCCTTATCTCAACTAGTAATAACCCATGTTCCTTCCTACTATTGCTTATACTCTCTCTTCAACAAAATTAGAGATAAGGGCAAAATAGTTTCTGCCAGGTAGCGAGGGGGTGGGGGGGAGAGGGAGGGGGCGGAATGGGTGGTAAGGGAAGTGTTGGGGGCAGGGGGGAGAAATGACCCAAGCATTGTATGCACATATGAATAATAAAACCATAAAAATGTAAAAAAAATATTACTGAGAACCCCAAAGAGTTTGTTGCCTTTGTTGGTGAAGCCTGTTGCTATTTACCATATTACAAATGAAAAATGAAAAAACTTCATGAATAACTCATTTCAATATGTCAATAATAAACTCATTACTTACTAACATAGACAACATAATAAACTCATTACTTACTAACACAGGCAATATCATTTCATGAGAAATGATACTGTTTTACAAAATAAAAAGTACTGTTTTATATTTTTTAAGTCTCTTATGTGTGGCTTGACAGAAAACAGTGGCATTCTTTCCTTCTCTTTGCAATCAACTTGTCTATTTCTCTCTGTCAATTCAGTTGAAGTATCTAAAGAAAATTCAACCTTACATAAATATGTAACTGGAAAATGATGAAAATTTTAATAGTATTATTAGATAATTGTGGGTATTCTGCAATATTAATGACACCAAAGTTTGACAAGTGGCATTTTCTCAGGGTTTAGTGTAATGTGCAAGCATATTTTATTGCATTAGAATCTATTTGCCTACCTTGTACTCTGGATCAATCAAACCCATGCATGATTTTATAATATTATTCAATGATTATTTGGAAAATAATGGTTTACTCTTATACATATCTCTCAAATCTTGACACATTTCATTATACAAAATAACGACACTGGTATATATCACTGTCAATCTTATCTGAAGTTTTTAAGTATTAGGGAACAGTCAACCTCATTTTGGCAGATAAAAATTCTAAAAATTAAATTTCCATTGGAGAGAGCAAATCCTTTTATCATCACCAAGAACTGTCAGTAGATTTTCTTATAATCAATAGATCACTGCACTTACTTTCATGAATTTGTCTGCCAAATACACAAGTCTGAATAAATAAAATTTGTCAATCATTTTTTGAAGTAAAAATGGTGCTCTGTGAAAACAGCAACTAATTCAACTCATGGAAACCTTCACAAGATATTTTTCCTCAAGACAATTGTCATGTTTGCGTAATATAGCATGAGTAATTTATTTGTGCCTCCATTTCATGACCTGAAATATTTAAAAAGCAGGTAGGTATTTATGAGTTGAGATTTTTAAAAATTTATTTTTTTGCTCCTTCATCTCAGACAATTTTTAGTGAAATGAGCACTTTTTGAACCATCAGTGTGGTGACTGATAACTGGTACAGTGTGGCACCCCTATCTTGATCCACACAAGAGTGCTGGAACCTAGTTCCAACAATGCTGAGCCATTGTTGCTACTGCAGCACAAATGTAAAAAGATGAAAAATGAAAAATAACATCTTAGTATTTTTTTTTGCAAATTTAGGTTTGACCTTATAGACCCCCTAAAAAGATCTCAGGAAACCCCAGAGGTCCATGATCTTCAATTTGAGAATGATTTCAGTAAGTGGTCAAAAGATGTCACTGTTGATGGTTATGATAACAACACTTGATGACTGTGCTTTCAAATCACACCAAGAAGAAAGCAAGAGACTTACGCCTCGCTTAACATTTTCAACCTCTGTAATAGTCCTGGCAATCAACTTCCAATGTTTAATCTTTTAGACTCAACAATCATTTTCCTGTATTAACCATGTAAATATTTCTTTTTCTAATACAGATACATTCTATTTCTATCCCATATAAGCTTAAAAAATAACTGATAGTATTTTCATTTTCTTTCCAGCATTTCAGTGTAGGTACTGTGGCCTATGTAGGGAAGTTCTCCCTTTTGCAGTGAAATGCTTGATTGAATTTGTTCAAGTTCACATGTTAACAGAAATAGACAAAGGTATATAATTAGATAACTGAGTTAACACCAATTGCAATTTATCAATAGAATTTGTGAAATAAGCCAGCCTTGAAAAAGTGACTTGTAATGGTCCATAAAACCAGAGAAATACTAAAAAGCAATTTATTTTTGACAAATTTTTAATTTTTTGCTATATATTGTTATTCTAAATTTGTTTAGTAGTTTAAATGAATTTGAAAATGTTTTATATCTGAACTGCTATATCTTTTCATGTTTGATATTAAAACATATCCATAAGTTCCAAGAAAGGTATATTGAGTATTTTCCATTTTTGGTGTTATCGATGCAAAAATAAATAAGACCTTATTGTACTCAGAGCTCCTTCCTTTTTGTGGTGGACTGGAATATCTAGTAAGTAAGTAGACATAAATAATAGAATTTGAATGTGTGATAAATAAATAAAACTGTGGATGGATGAAAAGTGACAAGATGGGAAAAGGGGATTACTTTAAGTAAGGTTTTCATTAAGGCAATGTCTTTGGAGCTGAGACTTGAATGGCTAAAATGAAGACCTGGAATAAGAGTTTTGCAAATAGAAAGAGTTGTGAATGCTGATGCCCTGAACCTAGCACTGAAGCAAGGCAAGTCAGACTGAAACATGCTGCCCAGAAGACAGAAGGACAGAAGTTGAATCACAGGCAGAGTCACAGGAAGGGGCTAGATCTTGAAGAGAAGTGAAGAGAATCTGACTTTACATGGTACTGAAATGGTTCTCCCAAGCTTATAAAAAAGTCATCTGTCTTTGTTGAAATCAAGATAAAATATTAAAGATATAGGGAAAAGAGATATATTGCAAGAACTTTTTATAAATGTCACAAACTACCCCAGTACAATAATAATAAGAAAATAAAGATATAGGGACAAAAGAGAACAGATTAGGAATTAAAAGACGTGGGTTCAAATTCATTTCCTCCCACTATGGCTTAGAAGTAAAAAGGAAAATTTAAAATGCATTAAGCACTAATAACCACCAAGTAAAGAATCAGACACTTGACTTGTTCCTGTCTTATTCAATTCAACTTTAATTAGTTATTTCTCAGACCTCTAAACTTCAGCTTCTATCCCTACAAAGAAGAGAGAGTAATAATTAACATGTCACACATAATTACATCATGGATTATCTGAAGGTATATAAAATTTAATATGTAAATGATTTTTGATGGCTGAATATTCACTTAAAGGCATTCTCACCATAGGTAAACATATTGCTTTTTTAAGTTACAGATTTGTGTGATGCTAGTATATTTCTAATGTAAGAAAAAAACCCACCCTTTAAAAGTGTCTTATAACTTTCACCAAACCAAAAAAAAAAAAGCTACCGTTTAAAAGTCGCTTATGACTTGTTAATGGGACAATATGACATTCCAGAGCCAAACACTGTAGTTTAAGCTACAATGAGTCTTACAACTTACTTTTTTCAAGTTCTACTCATCCCCGGTTTGTTTTAATCATTTAAATTTACACCACACCCTTCTAAATCTTTTAGAACCAACTTGGAAAGGGAAAGGCTCTCTTGCTTCTTGGCAACCTTTCACAGACACCAAGCTGTTGCTGTCACACACAACACCTGTGAAGTAGTTTCATAAGACCTCACATTACTGAACAGGAAACCAAGATGATTACAAGTCTTTGAAAACTTGGAAAGAACTGATAAGCACAGTAAAACACACTAATGAATTAAACTAGTCAAGGGGGTTGATAAGAGACACTTACACCTAACATGGCAGAATGTTGTAACTATTCAAGAATGTGTCATATAAAAAAAAACTCGAAACATCATCTTTGAATAGTTCATTTACAATTGTTCATACAGGATTTCAATATGTACCACTTCATTTACCTATATCCAAAACAGAAGCCAAATTGTATGTGGAGTATTTTTATGTGGAGTAATTACACGTGGAGAATTATGCATTCTTTGAAGTGCATTAACTTTAAAGTGAATTGCTAAAATTTATTTCCTGACTTGTTATTGCTTTCTATCAACTCATTAAGCTGATTTGAACTGTGAATTCATAAAAGCTGGGACTGTATATTTTCATACCCTGCCTCTAGTATATCTAGATATACTAGATATACAAGTAGGTGCTTGAACAATATTACTGAATGAAAAATAGCTCCTAAACAAATCCACATACAGCAAATTATTTTATTCAAAACTTATCTAAGCGCACTGCTTACCTCAGGTATACAAGCTCCTGTAAAACCAAACAGGCCATTGGCATTGTCACTTTTTTGTATTATTAATCTTGCTGTACTATTTTCTTCAGAAATGTGAGCCCCTCCATACACAGAGACTAATTTAAGAATGAATAATTCTTCTCCTTCCTCTTCATTGTCATCTCTTGCAGAAACAATGAATGATTTGTTAGTTTCTCCCTGTCTGAACTCCAGATATCCAGAAATGGGGTGTAAATCATTCTTTGCAGGCATAGCATGAAGTTCATAAATTTCTTCAAGGGTCAGTTTTCGCTCATAGGCTCTCACATCCTGCATCAGACCTGTATATCTGCTGCTGCCACTCATCCCTGCCCCAATTCTTAGTATTCCAGGACCTGAAATTAGACAGGGGTTTAAATGCTTAAAATATCCACAACTATCCCATAGTAAACTACAGCTATGATTCAGAAAATAAGAATTTTACTGAAAAATACTTTTGATATTTAAAACTTTTACATAATTACCATATAATCGAATAAAAGTTATCTTTTATAATGATAAAAATGAATCTGTACTCATTGGGACTTATGATATTTTATATTACAAGAACTGGTAACTTCAAAATTAGTGATGTCCTTAAAGGTAACTTCTATCATCCTGTCAAAAAACACTTCTGGATGGAAAAATCAGAACTAAACATATATACATACACATATACCCAAGATTGTATGTGTCCATATTTCCTCTGATATTGTTATGTACTTATCCATCTAAAAATGGAATTATTTAGCAAAGTCACAGTTTTTTAACTTCAGTTTTACTATTCTTTGAGAACTTCAAGGCTTGATGTGTTAGACATTCATCTTGAGTTAATAAAGTGAGAATTCAGCAAAAACACAGTTTTTGGTGGTTCAACTGTATCTCTGTATCTAAATGACTAATGAAATGAATGTAGAAATGAGGAAGTTCTTCCCAGAAACATTATATGTAACTGTTTTTATTAATAATAATAACATATAGCCCAACTAGGTCATTAGATCTCAAAAACAACTCTTATACCAGTTTTTATTTCTTTCCTTCTTCTTAGTTAAGATAAATATATAAGATGAGAGCTCAGCACTGGTTCTGGAAAAAAAAGCACAACAAATGCTTCCTATCAATTGTCTCAAAGAAGGTAGTTCTAATCCCTGGTTATAAAGGAAATGCAAATCAAAACCACACTAAGATTCCAACTCAAATAGCTATCATCAAAAACACCACCACCAACAGGTACTGGCGAGGATGTGGGTGAAAGGAATCCTCATACACTATTGGGAATAAAATTTAGTACAACACAATAGAAAACAGTATGGAGGCTCCTCAAAAATATAAAAATAGAACTATTATATGATCCAGAAATCTCTCTCCTAGGCATATAACTGAAGGAATATAAGTCAGTAAAATTATAAATGAAGAACAACTTACAAATGTAAAACACTGTACAAATTTGAGACATGCTCAAATTAAGAAATGCTTTGCTTCTATGACTAATTCTGTGGAACAAACATTTTAACTCTGATGCTTCTTTACTGAATTTGTCTGGATGATCTATTTGTTAAAGTGGAGTGGTGAAGTTCCCAGTTATTATTCTGTTAGAATCTATCTCTCGTTTTAGATCTAATAATGTTTGTTTATATAATTAGATGCTCCACCATTGGTTGCACATGTTTTTATGGTTGTTATTTCTCTTATTGCATTAATCCCTTTATCATTACATAGGGACCTTCTTTGTCTCTTCTTACAGCTTTTTATTTCAAGTCTATTTTATTTGTCACAACTATAGCTACATCTGTTCAGTTTTGGTTTCTGTTTGTATGGTACATCTTTTTCTATAACTTTGCTTTCAGTCTACATGTGTCTTTACTGGTGAAGTGAGTTTCTTCCATGCAGCATATCATTGTTTTATCACTCAGCCGTCTATATAATTATTTTTATTTTTAAAAAATTTATTAGTGTATTTTAATAGTATAAAATAATATGCTTTACTGTGACATTTTCATACATGAATATAACATTCTTTGACCATATTCACTCCCCCCACCTTTACCCTTTCTTGTCTCCCTCCTTTTTCTAGTCCCCTTCCTCTTCCCAAATAGTTCCTCTTCTACCGTCATGTCTTTTTCAACCCTTCATTCTGCGTATGAGAGAAAACACCTATTTGTCTCTCTGAGTCTAGCCTATTTCACTTAGGCACCCATCAATGAATGAATGGCTAAAGAAAATGTGGTATATATGCACATTAAGTGCTATTCAGCCATAAAGAAAAATTAAATTATGTCATTTGCAGTCTATATATTTTAATTGAGGGATTTAATTCCTTTATACTCAATGTTATTGTTGATAAATAAAGGCATACTCTTGTTTTCTATTATTTTTCTGGTTATTTTGTTCATACTTTGTTCCTTTCTTGTTTGTCTTTCTTTGCTTCTCTCTTTGTCTTATACTTTAAACCGTAATCTCTTTGGATACCTTTTTTGGTCAAATCAAGTAAGTGATTCTTTGAGCTTCATGGACTTAGATGTTCATATCTTTCCCAAGATTTGGAAAGTTTTCAATAATTAGTTCATTGAATAGGTATTCTTGCCTTTTCCCTTCTCTTCTCCTTCTGGAATACTCATAATGCAAAAGATTGCTTGTTTAACAGTATCCCATAAGTCTTGAAATCTCTCTTCATTCTTAAATCATTTTATTTTTTGTTATCTGTCTAGGTTATTTCAAAAGACCTATCAACTGCTTCTTGAGGCCATTGGAGGATGGGCAAGGTTGCCCAGTTGCTTCCTTGGAGTCTCAGTGGGGTTGAATTGCTCAGAAAAATCTGTTTGGCTACTTCCTGAGGTGTGGATAGGTAGATGGGGCTCTCATCTGCATCACTAGATACTCAGGTATCTTTATGTTTTATAATCTATTCTATACTGCATTGATAGATGACTTTTAAAAATAAATACATATGTACTTTTTAAGTGTTCTTCCCAAGTTACAAATTACAAAACTAATTTTAGGTTCTTTGCAGAAAGCCAAATACAGAAAAGAAGCAACAACTTTCATATCCCTCAGTCTCCAATTTTCATTCTACCACCATTATCATCACCAAAGGGACCATGATCAACAGATACATGTATATATTCACAAAACCAGAGCATGAATAATTTAATGGCACAGAATGCTATAAGCACTGCACTGGAAAATATGTGCATAGCTTTTTTTGGCTCTTTTTTATGCTGGAAAAAATAACCAAATATGTAATGCAGAGTTTCAGAAGGAAATACTCTATGGCAATATAAGCTCAGTTCTTCCTTCTTACTAAATGTAATACAGAAACAAATCAAAATGGAGGGATTTGGAGAGAGTTGTTAACTATGATGGAGATAACCAATATCTGTGTGCATACATTGTGAATTTATATGAATACACAATGAGTTTCTCAAAGAAGTATATGATTTGCCTTAAAATAGTCTTTGACAACAAAGATTATCTCTTCAAAGAGTTCCATAGAATTCACCAATTTACCTCCTGATATTACAAAGCCTATAATGTGATTTTTTATCCTGATTCCTTTTCAACCTTATGCCTACTACCTTCTACCTCCAACAAAACTGAACTATCAGCAGTTCCCCCAGATACAATATGCTGCTTCACTTTTCTATGCTTTCATTCATTCCTCTGCTTAAAATATCACTCCCTACCCCTCATACTATCCACAAGAAGGATAAATGTTCCTTCTTCATAACTTTTTCATTATTCCTATAGTATTTTGTAGTAATCTGTTTGCACACATCTCTCTTAGAATCTATTTCTGATTCCTCAAATGCAAAGACTTTGCCTGATTCATTTCTTCATAGAATATACCATGCTCTTGCTTGTGAAAAGAAACTAATACAAAAGCAGAATTTTAAAATATCTCCTTTTTTTAATCAAAATTTTAATTGAAGATTTTAGAACCTTCAGATTTTAATGTCCTAGTAGTGAAATGACACTCACCATCACTAATGGCTTCTCCTTTCAGACTCTTAATTCCTTTAGGCATTGCATTTCCATCCAGGTAGAATTCAATTATACCATCATCCAGGATAATTAGAAGATGAAGCCAAATACCTTCTTCTAAATATTTCATGACTGTTGTCTTGGCAATGTAGGTAGCATTGGATCCCAAAGTTTTATAATGAAGGGAAAGTGTCACATGGGATTCATTTGTTTGGATTTTTATTCCATAGTAGATGCTTCCATTACCATCCTCCTTTGCTATAACAAATCCGTTTGTATTGGCATTAGGCATTACCCAGGCTGAAAATGTAAAGTTGGCAATTGTGCTATTCCTGGAGGGGTGGTAGTTTGGACTAACCGTCCCAAAGGCGCCCTCGAGTCCACTAAAGTACAAGGCATCTGTTCCACTGTGATGACGTCGCATGTGTGGTTGTAAATGCACAGTGCTGGGGAAAATTCCAACCAGTAAAAAATCTATCATTGGTGGCAAACCAGCAGTAAACTCACTGGAGAGTATTTCCCAGCCAATCCGTACATCACCAAAGACACCCTGTTGCCTCAAAACAGTGAAGCTGGTAATATAAGACATATCATCTTCTGAGAGGACATCTTCTGCCACTTCTCTCTCTAAGCACTCTGAATCAAAGATGAAAATTCCAAAGGGATCATCATTGAATGGAATCATTACTGTTACCTGAAGGTTGGCTTCTGCTAATTGGCCTCCAAGACCTGGGGACCCACCTGTAACAAGAAAACGTATAATGAATAAAAAAACAGAATTTGAAATACCTTCTAGTACAAGGTTATGGAAAAGGAATTTGCTTAGCACACAAACTTATAGTTAAATAATTTACTCATTATCAATGAACAATTTTATCACCACCTGACTTTCACCACATTTTAGGGTCATGATATCAAAAAATAGATTCAGCAGAATTTTTTAATGATCAGTCAAGCCTGAAAAGATGCTTTAAACTAGAGAGGTTTAATTTCTATGCTTAAAGTCAAATGTAATTAGAAAACCAATTGTTACATTATGGTTCAAAGATGAATCAGTACTTCCTAACTTCCATTAACATTTTGTTGAAAACACTATACTTGGAGAGGAAAAAAAAAGTTTATCTACAAGTTCCAGGATGGATGAAGCTAAGATTATAAAATGAACATTAAAAACAACACTTTGGGGCTGAGGGTGTAGTTCAGTGCTTAGCATATGGTTGCTAGGTGCTATCCCCAGTACTGTGTGGTAGGATGCCTATATGCCCAGCACTTGGGAAGTAGTAGCAGGAGGACCATGAGTTGGAGGCCACCCTGTGCTACATAGGGAAATCCTGCCTCAAAAATATGAGGTAGAGATACTGCTCAGTGGCAGAGTATTTGCCTACCATGCACAAGGCCCTGGTTCAATTCTCAGCACCACAAAGAAAAAAAAAAAAAAGACTTTTACCAAGAAGAGTAAGTTAGCATTTTAAATCAATCAGGAGACACTTTTTCATCAATTAGATTTTCTACACAACTCTCAGTATAAACATAAAATTTTGAAGTAAGAGATAGAAAAACCCAGCACCTGAAATATTTACAAGCTTTAGGATATAAAACTCATTGAATTCAGGAATTTTATCTGGGAAAGCATGGAGAATTATTGATTTTGTTCCTTCTCCATCCATGAAGTTAACAGTTCCCGATGTTTCATAGAACTCCTGTCCTGGGTGCAGAGCAGAACCATTCTGAAAGAGCTGCCACATCACAGAAGCATTGCCAAAGTGCCCCCGGTGCCTCAAAACCCTACATGACAAATTGAATAACGTTAGTTGTTATGAAAAATGTACTCACGGTGTACATTACTACCTCCAATGAGAGTCTTCTGTGTTATCTCAAAAATATACTTTTTCTAATTTGTCGTCTTTAAATGAAATAGCTAGCCAGTTCTACTGAGCAACCAGAAAGAATTTCATGGTAAAGGAAGAATAAGGTAGAACTTTAATAAATGGCACTCTTAAGAGCTTTTGTCTTCAAAGTCTAAACAGGAAATAAATTCTAAACCCAACTGAAAACCACTGTGATGTTAACTGGAAACAGTCTTCAAAAGCAAATTATAGGATAAGAGTAGTCACTCTTCCGTCATCAGAGAGAAGTGTTCTGAAGGGGTAATTTAACTTTCTCAGTCTTGCCAAAGATGGAAATTAGAGTGAGGGAGGTGAAGAGGATAATTTCTGGTTGGTAGGGCTTTGTATAGACAAATGACAATAACAGGAAAAAAATTTACATTTCATTTAGACTGACAGATTCAAAGTTATTTAATTTTTGGTCTTGTTTTAAATTTTGCAAGATTAATATTATTTCAATTTTTTGCATACTTAATGACTTTATTTTACTCTAATTTTGACTTCCTTATCCAAATATGCTTACCAAAATGCATTTGTCTTTCCTTCTTCTACTGCTTTGTCTATGGGCTCCAGAAAAAAAATACCATTTGGGTCATCATTAGCTTCAATTATAACTGTAGCTATTCCATATTGATATACCACTGTATCACCTAAATTAAAAATGGAAAAGTCAAAGTAAGAATAAAAAAGTAGTTAACTTTTACTTCAACAAAATTATCTGTAGCAATTTCTTTTGTGCAAATTTTGGGAAGTTAAACAAAGAACTACAGATGGAAGTGTGCATGTATGTGTACACACATAAAATATGCACATATATTCCCTATTTCTATACATGAAGAAGATCCAGGAAGAGCAAAACCTCAATAACAGTAAGTTCAGACTGTAGTTACTAAATAGCATTCTTCACCATGGGGAACCTGGGCTTCTTGGAATGATGATCTACTTCAGGTTTGTGACAAAAAAAGTACAAAATGAGCCTGGAACAGCTAACTGTGCACAAAAGTAGAAAAAGTCTCAAGAAGCAATAGGGACATGTAAAAAGACAAAATCAGTTTGGGTGTGGTAGCTGGGTCTGTAACCCCAGCTACTCAGGAGGCAGAGATTAGAAGTGTCATGGTTTGAGACTAGTCCAGGCAAAAAGTTCCCATTCTAGAAAGTTCCATAAAGATTCCATTTCAACCAAAAAAGGTAGCATGAGCCTTTCTTCCCAGTTATGCAGGAAACATAAATAGAAGAACCATGATCCAGGCCAGCCCAGGGGAAAAAATGAGACTCTATTTCAAAAGTAACCAAAGCAAAAGGAACTGGTAGAATAGTTCAAGCAGTAGAGTGCCTGCCTAGCAAGCACAAGACCCTGAGTTCAACCACCAGCATTGCCAAGGGAGGAGGAGAAGGGAGACAGTCATATTGGATAGGTTACCACTAGTCAAGTATGGGACAATGTGGCCATGAAAATAATTACATTAAAGAAAAATAACCCACTGAACTAAATAGAAGTTATAAATCCATATTGATAAATATATCAGTGGAAAAAAATGCAAATTTATGAGTAATAGGATATTACAAAGTTTCAAAGTAATTCCTCACAAATTATTTATAATTACAATGAGACAAAATATATTAAATAAGCCTAGAGGTTGTAATCTTAATCATAGTCAAAATGAATATCATATGAAGGAACAAATTGAAATCATGTGACAATTAAATAGATCTGGTAAGAACACAAAATCACTTCCGTGAAATTCCTACAAGGATGTAAAACCTGAATCTAATAAGAAGGAAACATCAAGTAAACTCAAAATGAGGTACATTCTAGCTTGAAGTCTTCTATATTGTTAAGCCAAGGAAAAACTGAGGAGTTACTCTGATTAAAGAGATTAGAAGGAGATTATAAATAAATGTAATGCATAATTCAGCAAAAGATGATTTTGCTAGAACGGACACTATCAAGACTAAATGGGGAAATTTCAATGAGGTCTGAAGCAGTGATTGCATTGATGTTAACTTCCTGATTTTGATGGTTATATTGTGGCTATATATGAGAATGTCTTTATAGAAAACACACAGGAATGTACTTGATGGTGATAGGGCATTGTATCTCTTTCTCTCAAAAGGTTCAAAGGAAAAAGCTTCTGTAGTTTTAAAAGAATAAAACAAATATCAAGATAGGCTACAGATCTTGCAATTTAATGAAGATGGGGTCAAAAAATGGTCAGGCTGCAAACAGTGGAGTAAAACATTCTGCTTCATTTATAATATGGAAAAGGAAAAGCACATCTTTCTCCCTTGTAGACTGTCATTCATTTTAGCCAGAGCTCCAGAGAATTACCAAACTGCCAGTTGGGAGTCAGCTGCCCAAAGAATTAACTTTCCAACCAAGTATATGAGCTCTTGCTTGTAGGAAAAAAAGTTACAAAATACTGATCTCTTAAGCTATTGGATAACTTAGGAAAGCCTAGAGCAGGCATATTCCTAACACCCACTGCTTTTGGCACTAAGATTTCTGTTTTTTATATAATATCAGAACTTTCAATTTTTGTCATGTTGAAAAAAGGTTACAGATAATACCATATCATATATGGTACAGGTTGTTGTTTGGATCTAAAATGTCTCCCAAAAGCCAGGTACTAAAGGCTTGCTTGCCAGCATATGGGCTTTTGGGAAATGACTAGATCATGAGGAAATTGACCACTAAAGTTTCTTAATTTTGTGGGCTTTTGGGAGATGATGGAAACTTAGGAGGAGGTCCCTGGATGCATGCTCTTAGAGACTATATCTTGTCCATGGATCCTTTCTCTCTCTCTGTTTCCTACTTTCCATGAGGTAAACAGATTTCATTGCCACTCCCTCCCCACCACGATACTCTGTTTAACCACAGGCCCAGAAACAATAGAACGAATCAACCACTGGATGAAACCTCTGACACCATGAGCCAAAATAACTCCTTCCTCCTGTAAGTTGATTTTCTCAGTAATTTGTCAGTGACAGAAAGCTGATTCACACGGGACATGAAGGTTCAACACCTATATTCTTCATCCCATTCCTCAGCAATGGAACAAATAATTTTGCCCATCAACAGTGACAGAAAATGGTAAAGCACTTCCCGGCATGACCACTGGACAATGGTGCTTAATGTCATCTTAGTAAAGTGCTGAACAGATCTACCATAACAATAAAATTTCCTTACCTGTTGAATTAAAGAGCATAATATAAAAGTGCTCCTCTGTTTCTGGGATACCATCTTCATTAATATATACAGATAGGCTCTGCTCTGTACTGCCAACCTCAAAAACAATGGTTTGTCCTTTTGCAGCAGGAACAAAGTCTCCCTCTTTTGCTGAAGCCTTTGCATCCATAGTAGCATATTGGACAGTACAGGTAATATCAACAGATCCATTTCTGAGAACTGTAAAGTTGGCAGTATCACCTTCTTGAACCCTCACTACACGAGGTTCTGAAATATTCATAAAGAAGAAACACATGAGCTTTTCTGATTCCATCTCCATATTTTCAGAGTACTCTTTCCTCCCTGCCATGTACAAGAAGTACTTTACACACTGTCTTTGTTTAAAATCAACTCTGCTCCCAACTCTGACATGAGGCCCCTTTGATTACTTCAACAATCGTGGTCTTCCTCTTGCCTTACTGCCCACAAAATCCACTGTCTTCAGCACCCAATCGTCCATAAATTATATACTATTTGAAATTCTCTGACTACAATTTCATATACTTTATTTTTAAGTTGAGTGTATAAGTTCCTTGAGAACAGACTCAAATATCTTATGTTTTACTTTTGTTACCACCATTGGCAGAAGTCTGAGCAAAAGTACGTATTAGCTGAAGCCTTGTTAACCTCCTAAAATTCAGGAGGTTTATAAGGCTCCTATCTTAACAAATTGCTTATTTATAGCCTGTAAAAAAAAAAAGGATTTAAGTAAGAATTGAATGTAAATAATAAAATTAAAAGATGCCTCAGGTGGCACAACACAGTACTAAAGAAAGCAGTAAAGTAACAAAAATTTAATATGTCCATTAAATTTTAGCTACTGTAGTAAGTGGTCATCATCTACTAACTACAATAACAGACCCTGAATCTGCCAGACTCTGTATTGGAGTTGATCACCAGGAAGTGTTTTGTTTACTACATGAAGGAAAGGAAATCCCATGAAATTTGAAAGGAGGAAGTAAAGCTAACAAAACAGGACTTAAGTTATTTTCTTTTTGCTTCACAAAGTCTTTAAAACTGGAGGTATGGCTCAAATAGTAAAAATGCCTGCTTTACAAAGTCTTTAAAAATTTTGTTTAAACTTCAAACAGAAGAGATCCAAGATAGCGACTAGACACAGCCACAGACCACAGGAGCTCCCTGAACCAGGGACTCTGCTGAGATGATGGAGACGCAGTTGGCTGAGGTAAAGCACCAGGGGAGAGCCTAAAGTACTCTAAACCCCTAGATCGTGGAAGGCTTCTCCACGCCAGGATCTAATAAAATAACACCCAGCCTGCCAAGTCCCGCCCCATAGGCCTGCAGAGTCCCTGCTCCACTAAGCCCAGCTCTCCGCTCCTCAGGTCATGCCGGGTCCCAGTCCTGTGCCGGATTTATGCCCCACCAAGCTCTCCACACCTTGAGCCGTGCCAGGCCCCAGTCACGCACCAGATCCATGCACCACTGGGATTCCCACCCCTGGGCCATGCTGGGCCCCAGCTCTACACCGGATCCACACTCAGGGGATCTTCTCCCTTGGGACTCCTTGCCCCTCAGGACCTGCTGGGCCCCAGCTCCGCGTGGGATGACCAGAGCCACGCCCCACCAGGATCCCCACCCCTGGGGGCCCTGCTGGATCCCTGCCCCGCTGGGATCCCATCCTTCACGCTGAGCCAAGCCCCAGCTCTACAGGTTTGCCAGATAACCGTACACCAGGCTCAAGCTCAGGCCGCCACTAGAGGGCTCCAAACCTGCCTAAGAGACACACACAGACAGGACGGGGCTGCTAAAGGAGTAACATCAGAACTAAGACTGCAAATCTACTGTTCCAGAACTGGTGATTTTTTTTTTTTCCCATTCTTTAAGGGTTTGGTTGTCTGGTTTGCTGTTTGATCACCCACCATATCTCCCTTTTTTTTTCCTCTCTTCTCTCTTATCTTTCATTCTCTTTCTCTTTTTTATCCTTCTCTCTTGGTTTTGTTAGTATTAATATTGTAACCCAGCTAATACTAAATTACACATAGCCCAGGGACAGAAACAGTACCTAGTGGAAATATGGGAAGAAGAAAAAGGGATGGAAACCATTTTCCCTCCAAAAGTAAAGTAGTACAGGATTTAGAGTGAAATGAAGAAAATGGATACCCAGACCCAACTCCAACAAAACAACACATCAGGAAGATCATTCACCACGACCAAGTCAGCTTCATCTCAGGGATGCAGGGGGGGTTCAAAATATGCAAATCTATAAATGTAATATAGCACATCAACAGAAGCAAATACAAAAACCACTTGATCATCTCAATAGATGCATAAAAAGCATTTGACAAGATCCAACACTTTATGATAAAAGCTCTAAGAAAAAAAAATGCAAGGTGACAGGCCGCTTTGGTTCTGTGCTGGTGCATCTCATCCCTGCCCCCAGGGGCACTGGCATCGTGTCGGCTCCTGTGCCCAAGAAGCTACTGATGATGGCTGGTATTGATGACTGCTACACTTCAGCCAGGGGCTGCACTGCCACCCTGGGCAACTTTGCTAAGGCCACCTTTGATGCATGCCATCTCCAAGACCTACAGCTACTTGACCCCCAACCTCTGGAAAGGGACCTTGTTCACCAAGTCTCCCTATCAGGAATTCACTGACCATCTTAGAGGACCCAGGCTCCAGCTGTGGCTACGACATAGGATTTTTTTAAAAATATAAAAATAATAAAGTGAATTAACCCTGTTTAAAAAAAAAAGAAAACTAGGAATAGAAGGAATGCACCTCAACATTGTAAAGCTATATATGACAAACCTACAGCCAACATCATACATAATGAAGAAAAACTGAAACCATGCCCCTAAAATCAGGAATGAGACAAGGGTGCCCACTATCCCCACTCCTATTCAACATAGTACTAGAATTTCTATCCAGAGCAATTAGGCAAGAAGAAGAAATAAAAGGAATACAAATAGGTAAAGAAACTGTCAAAATACCCTTATTTGCAGATGACACGATCCTATAGCTTAAAGACCCAAAAACCTCTACCCAAAAACTCTTAGACACCATAAACAGCTATAGTAAGGTGGCAGGATACAAAATCAACCTACAAAAATCATTAGCTTTTCTATATACCAACAACGAACAAACTGAGAAGGAATATATGGAAACAATTCCATTCACAATAGCCTCAAAAAAAAATCAAATACCTAGGAGTAAATTTAACAAAGGGTGTGAATGACCTCTACAGGGAGAATTACAAACTCCTGAGGAAAGAGATCAAGGAAGATTACAGAAGGTGGAAAGATCTCCCGTGTTCACGGATTGGTAGAATCAACATAGTAAAAATGGCTATACTACTGAAAGCAATCTACATGTTTAATGCAATTCCCATCAAAATCCCAATGACTTTCATCACTGAGATTGAAAAATCTGCCTAAAGTTCATTTGGAAACACAAGAGACCGCGAATAGCCAAGGCAATACTCAGCAAAAAGAGCAATGCTGGAGGTATCACAATACCTGACTTCAAACTATATTACAAAGCAATACCAATAAAAACAGCATGGTACTGGCACAAAAACAGACATGAAGACCAGTGGAACAGAATAGAGGACCTGGATAAGAATCCATACAACTATACCCACCTCATTTTTGACAAAGGTGCCAAAAATATACGATGGAGAAAAGACAGCCTCTTCAACAAATGTTGCTGTGAAAAGTGGTTACCCATGTGCAAGAAACTGAAACTAGATCCATGTCTATCACCTTGTACTAGTATCAACTCAAAATGGATCAAGGACCTAAATATCAGACCTGAAACTCTGAAGTTACTACAGGAAGGAGCAAGAAACACTCTGGAACTAATAGGTATAGGCAAAAACTTCCTCAATAGAATCCCAGCAGCCCATCAACTAAGAGAAAGGATGGAAAAATGGGACTTCATAAAATTAAAAAGCTTCTGCACAACAAAAGAAATTGTATCTGAACTGAAGAGACCAACCACAGAGTGGGAGAAAATATTTGCCAGCTATACATCAGACAAAGGACTGATAACCAGAATATAGAGGAACTTAAGAAACTAAACTCTCCCAAAATCAGTGAACCAATTAAGAAATGGGCAACTGAACTAAACAAAACTTTCTCAGAAGAAGAAATTCAAATGACTAAAAAAACACATGAAAACATAGTCACCATCTCTAGCCATAAACAAAATGTAATTCAAAACCACACTAAGATTCCACCTCACCCGTTAGAATAGCCATCATCAAAAACACCACCAACAACATGTGTTGGCGAAGATGTGGGAAAAAGGAACCCTAGTCTACTGCTGGTGGGAATGCAAGCTAGTGCAACCACTCTGAAAAAAAATTTGGAGGCTTCTTAAAAATCTAAACATAGACCTGCCATATGATCCAGCAATCCCACTGCTGGGGATATACCCAAAGGAATGCAACACAGGTTACTCCAGAGGCACATGCACACCCATGTTTATTGCGGTGCTATTCACAATAGCCAAGTTATGGAAACAGCCAAGATGCCCCACTACTGATGAATGGACTAAGAAAATGTGGTACTTGTACACAACGGAATTTTACTCAGCCATGAAGAAGAATGAAAGCTTATCATTTGCAGACAAACGGATGGAACTGTAGAACAACATTCTGAGCGAGGTCAGCCAGGCTCAGAAGACCAAAAATCGTATACTCTCCCTCATATGCAGACTTTAGATCTAGGGCAAATACAGCAATGTGGTTGGACGTGGATCACATGACAAGGGGAGAGCACATACGGGAGATACAGGAATAGGTAAAAACCCATAATATGAAAGCGTTTGATGTCCCCACTCCAGATGAATTAATATAGAAACCTTAAAGCAACAGAGGTTAACATGAGAAGGGGTTCAGTAACCAGTGTAAAGATCAGTTAGAGATGTACACGAAAGCAATGCTAGGAATATTTCTGTATAGTTATCCTTAATTCAACTGGCAAAAACATTGTATCTTCATTACTATGCTTATGTCTTTTCTTCAACAAAATTAGTGATAAGGGCAGAACAGCATCTGCCTGGAAGTAAGGAGGGAGCGGGGAGAAAAGGTGGGGGAGGGAGGCACGAGGGAGAAATGACCCAAACAATGTACACACATGTGAATAAATGAATAATTTTTTTTAAAAAGTTCCATGTGCTAGGAAATGTACAATCTTATTCCCATTCTCATTGTTGGGAATAATTTTTTTTTCTAGTTGTGATTTGTCAACAGTTCCAGGGATCAATGACTCTCTAGCAAATGTACCAATTCAGAGGAAGAATGGTTTTTTAACATTATTTTCTCCTGTCTGTCAGATAATTTAGGTAGTGATGGAGTGGAGCTCACAGAAAAAATGTTTTTCATATCATATAAAACTCCTTCACTGTATCTTCCGCCACATGTAAGTGTTTCAGTCTTGTAAAGAGCAATTAGCCTATAAACTGGTAGTGGCCAGTCAATAAAGAACACTTAGTCAGCATAAAATTATTAGCTCAGATCTACAAAAAGCTTCTTTACGTTTGTGTAATATTTGAGGGGCTTATTTAATTATACTTGCCTTTTGTTTGGTTTCCAGATCAGACAGGACATAGTCACATAAAGATAAACACCATCAACACAAAAAATAAATAAATAAATAAATAAACTTCACAGAATCAGTAACACCCATCAAACGAGCCATGAAGTCATATTTAAATAAACATTGATTATACTTTGTTGAAAATGCACAGGTAACAATTATTTTTAAATATATGTACTATTTAAGAAAGAATAAACTCACACAAGTGAGATAGCAATACCACCTGCAAAATATATGGGGTCATCATTTCTTTCAATCCTCAGAGTTGCAGTTGTTCTATTTCCCAATCTAGCTCCTCCAGCAGCATTAAGGAGGGTAATAATAAATTCTTCCATTTCCTCTGGAATCTTTTAGAAAATGTTACACAGTTTAAGTCAAGTGAATAAGACCTATAATTATATCATATATTCCTAAATTATTGCTCTCTTTTTTATAAAGCTCTCTTAAGAATGCTAATGTTCACAATTTATAAGACAGAAGTTTCCTCAAGTATTCCTGTAAGATTCAGACCTTCCCAAAAAATTGTTATTTTAAGGTGCAGTCAGTCAAATGGCCACTTTATATTGACTAACTATACAATGTAATGGAAATATATTTTGCCATATGTATGGTAAAAAATTGATATACTGCATAGCTAGCTTACATTTCTTAAGAAAATGGGAAACACTGCCTATAAGGAAAAACATGGGATAGAAAAATAACTTTTTGGCACATTTAGAAGAGTTTGTAATAGTCACTAAACTCAGGCAGCTCTCAAAGGCCTTTTAAAAGCTTCATGGAGGTTTCACATGAGAGGGTCATGAGGACCTTACTTCCATGTCCCAACAAGATAAGAGTCCCTCATCCCTGAGCCTAAATGGATCTCCGGGTGCACACTGTTTCTCATTCACATCATCCATGTGAGTTACTCATCTCCTTACCATAAAACAGAAGAGTGCTGGAATTTTGTGTTGGGAGGGATAGTTCTGTGGGGAAAAAGGTAGGCCTTCATAGCTGTTCTAAGTACAGCCGGCTGAGAAAGTTTCATTCTCCATTGTTACTAAGTTCTTTCTCTTTATTATCAATACGATGAAGCACCATGTTGAATATATGATCCCTACACTGCAATGTCCTGATTCTCAGAGTGCACCATAGTGCACTTGCTTCTCTTCAGAGGGCCGAAAGCATAAGCCAAGGGTTTAACCTCTCCCAAAACTACAAATCCCTGATATTTGACATGAGAGAGGGTTACTGACCATTATCAGTCCTAGAATGAAACACATCTTCAGGAAAACCAAAAAATAGCATTGACATTGTCACACTTAAGCTCTTTATCATAGAACATATTGCCAAGTGTTTAAGTATTTAACAAAAACAGTGATAGAGCTAGGAATGTTAGTTCAATTGGAGAAGCACTTGCCTAGAACACACAAGGCCCTGAGTTTTATCCCCAGCACTCAAGAAAGCAAACAACAACAAAGAAAATAATGATGAAGTAACTACACTTAGAAAAGCATTTACCTCATCTGGAAGGGAGTAAATGATGATATTTTTTGAAAATTCCTGGTCTCCAAAGAAAATTGTCCCTTGCACAGGAGATACATCTTGTGTAAAGTCTGGACTAACCACCCACGATACAGTGACATCACCAAAGTTGCCTCGATTTCTTACAACTCCATAAACAGCTGTAAAATACAAACATACAAAATGTATATACATATATATATGAGTATACGTTAAACTTTTAAACATGAAATTACTCAAATACACAAAATTAAAAATAATACTTCTTTTTAATAAAAGCTTATTATCTGCTCAGCCTATCCTCTGAGGGTCATATGAAAATATACTAGCCTATTCTTCTGTAGATGTACAATTAATAGTACAAATGGACTCAATAGTTTCCATCACCATTTTGGATTTTAAGAGTCAGAGGAATAGGAACAGAATGGTGATTAATTAGGTACAGCTATCAGAAAGTCCCATAAGGATATCTGTTGAGGCATTTAGAGAAAGCTTGACTTATACACTCAGAGTGATTTTTTTTACCCAGATAGACACTGCTTTAAAAATAAAATATTTCTCATTTCCTACCACTGCAACAGTTTCCCAGCAGTAACTCTTAGTTTTAATGCTTTCCCTACTTGAATTGATTCATTCCTGAGTGTTTGCGTTGCACTGCATATGGTTAACTGAAATTAAAATATAATTGAAGTCATCACTATAGTGATATACATATTATGTAAGAAATAAAATAGCAATCCTAAATATAATTTTTTAAATACTAACTTCTGTACTACATGTAATTGCTGAGGCAGAATGGACAACTTAAAATAACTGTGGAGAAGCCCCTTAACCCCTGGGTGATAGAGCAATAAGTCACGTTGATAGTTATACACCCTTGAAATGATGTGATAAACATGGGACTTTACCTCTGTAGTCCTACTCCTAAAAAAGCACAACCCCTGTCTGATCATGAGAAAAACATAAATTCCAATAGAAAGACATCCTGCATAACACCTGGCCTTCACATGTTCCCTTAAAATTGTCATGGTCATCAAAACAAGGAAAGTGAGAGAAATTGTGACAGCCAAGAGAAGCCTGAGTCATGATATCATATTAAGAGGGTATCCTAGATGGGATCTTGCAACAGGAAAAAGAGATTAGGTAAAAATTAACATTATCCGAATGAAGTATAGACTTTAGATAGTGACCATGTATTGGTTCATTAATTGTTACAAATATACCATTCACTAGACTTTGGATCTGAAATGTCTCTCAAAGGCCCATGTACTCAAGGCTTGGCTCCCAGCCTGGTACAATGTGGAAGTGGTGGAAGTTTTAAGAGGTGGGGACTAGAAGGAGATCTTCCAGTTATTGGAAAGGGATATTGGGACCTAAGTTGCTTCCTCCTCCTCTCTTTCCCATCCCTGCCTTAAGGTAAATAGTTTTGCTTCACCATGCACTCCCTGTCATGATATGCTGCCTTGCTTCAGGCCCCAAAGCAATAAGGCTGGTCAATCATGGATTGAAACCTTCAAAACCATGAGCCAAAATATACCTCGTCTCTTTATAAGCTGATGATCTCAGGTATTTGTTATAGTAACAGAAATCTGATTAACATGCCATACTAATAAAAAATTAATAGAGAAAACTGGATGCAGTGCCTTTAAGAACTTTCTGTATTTTCTTGTCAATTTTTCTACAAATCTAAAACTGTTCTAAAAAATAAAGTCTATTATTTAAATTTTTTAAATAACTAGTTCCTAAAGAAAACTTTAAAAATGTTTAATTTCCTATTCAATGAGTAGAAATAAAATATCACAGCCAGAATAAATTACCACTATAGATATCATCTCCTTTGCTTTCATTTATCGTCACAGTTAGGTTATCAGAAACAAATTCTATAATTCCATGAGGATCATCATTTTTTAGAATTGTTATGTTGACAACCGTGGCACTTCCCAACTTGCTCTCTCTTTCACCATGGCTGCTGAGGACCACCCAATAGTGCTCATCCAACTGCAATGAATATGCCAATTAGGAAAAATGTAAAGATGACATTTGTACAACACAGAAAATATGCACACATTCAAGAATATTAATATATTCATCTTTTCAGAAACATACCACTCACTAATAAGAGAAAAGAGATGATATTACTCCCAAAATATTTTAGCATTTGCCTATTAGTAAAGAGTTACAAGATATAAATACACATCACTTAGAAGGAAAAAGATAAATGATATTATTCTATAATAGTATGAAGTCAGAATCACTGATGATCTGGTAGTCACTTAAACTAGTAAGGATAAAAGAAACAAAATTAACTTAAAACCATTGAAATGCATTAAATACACTGAAGTGTAAGTAGAATTACATCTGGTTCCATAAATTTATCTCCTTTTAAACTTCAATTTATTTCCTTTAAAAAAAAGTAATTTTACAGTAAAATTTCAGTTCCAGCCTACACCATTAAAAGTTCAGTTAATACAGATCACATAAAATAAAGCGTAACATAAAGATTAAAGGAAATGAAACCAAATCACACATTGGAAGCCTCAGGTTGTTTGATGTATTTAGTATTTTTCTTTGTAGGACAAAAATACACTATTCTAATATAAATAAATCTTACTTCGCTTTTTAAATTTCTCTTTAAAATTTTTCCAAACATAGATACTTTTCAACCCTTCTTATGCCTTTTTGCCCATGTTCAAAATATTTATATTTATAATATACCAAAGACTATCAATTTTCCACAAAAGCATGAGGAGAAAACAAACTCAGGTACCTCTGGTATGCCATCCAATCTTGTTAGCAAGGTGATTACTATTTCCATTTCCCCAGGTTTAAATTCCAGTACCCCCATATTGCCATAGAATTCATTGCTGTCTTGTGGCTCTACTCGGTAGTGCAGAAACTGTTTAACCAGAGCCCCCCTGGATCGAGTAATGTGGAGCTCTACAGATTCTCCTTCCTTAAAAAAAAAAAAAAAATCCACAAAAATTTAAATCCTTTTAGATCATTTCTTCTGAAGTTGTGAGCACAGAATGAAATTTTATACTTACTTTTATAACATAAGGTCCTCTAGAAGTAGGAGAAAATTCAAAAACTCCCCCAGGATCATCATTTTCCAAAATAATGAGGTCACGGCTCGTATATCCAGATTTCAGCACTTGATTTTCCACATTAGCTCTGGGGAAGTAGAGGGGAGAGAAGGCACCTGCTACCTACAGTACTGTAGTGCGTATTGCAGGCTTAGAAAGCAATATTTACGACTCTTCCAGATAATGAGAAGGAAAGTAATTAGAAATTAAACCTTAAAGTAAATTTTCATATCTTAAAATAACTTAAGACCAAAACAGTTTACTCAAAATACTTATGGTGAAACTATTTCTGAATGCCTTATATCTTTATATCTTTTTTAATTTGACTGAACAAATAGCCTATGTACACCAAGAATACAGTAACCACAAGTTGTAAATATATTTCATTTATATAAAGTATCAAAAATTAAAGATATTATTCCAGTTTTGGAAAAATGTAATTTGTAATATGTCATTATAAAATGTATTTAAACAAACTGACAGCCAGTGGAAGTTAAACTTCTCTGAAAAAAACATATGTGCATACATATATATATATAAAACAATCCTGTGTTTTAATTTTATATACACTTGAATGTCTTCTAAAACCTTATTAAATAAAACTATAGTAATTGAGTAAGGGTGCATACAAACTGGATAATTACACAGATTAAAGCAAGTCACAGCAACTAAAAATAAATATAATTATGATTAATCTTTTTGGGGGGGTATGATGGTTTTCTCTAGGATCTTTTCTCTCCCTTTTTTTAATTAGGATATATTCATTGTACAGGGGGGATTCATTGTGATAATTCCAACTAGACTTATATTGTACATTGGTTCGTTTACCTCCTTTGCCCCCTCCCTGTCCCACTTTGTGGCTTTTAAATACTTTGTATTTGCCTCAATTTTAACATCAAGCATTTTTTTAAGAAAATGTAGGACATATAAGAAAGGAAAAAAATGGATCTGAGATGCTGACATAACAATTCATATATATATATATATACACACACATACATATCAAAAGAACATATTAAAGTTTTTTATTTCTGGGTTTTATGCTCAGTGTATAATTAGAATGATCAAAGAGAGTGCACAGTTCTGAGGGTTTAAAAGCCAGTAAGCTCTTAAAAATTCTCAATCTAGCTGCTCTAAACCTTTCCAAATGTCACTTCCTATTGAACCAAAAAGTATTCGTGATGAGACCTTTAAATCACAATGAAACCACAATTAATATGTAGAAATATGTATAAATGGCAGCTTACTTCCTATGTAATCAAGTGAAGTGAATTAACATCCTTCCCTAGCTTTCAGAAACCCAACCACCAATACCTAGCATGCTAGTGACCTCAGAAGAGATAATCCGAATAACAGGACAGTGAATTATGTTGTTACTTCAATCATGCATCTCACAGAAAATTTGTCTCCATTTCGTTAATATCAATAGTGTCACTAATTAAAATTTCTTGCTAGGTGCTGGTGACTCACACCTGTAATTCTAGCTACTCAGGAGGCACAGATCAGGAGGATCACAGTTCAAAGCCAGCCCAGGCAAATAGCTCGTGAGACCCTATCTTGAAAACCCCTATCACAGAAAACTGGACTGGTGGAGTGGCTCAAGATGAAGGCCCTGAGTTCACACCCCAATACTGCAAAAAAATTTCTTTGTGTCCACATGAGCTAGGAGACAAGAAAACTGGATAAAAGTCTACTCTGAGCATTAAACAAATGAACTTATACTTAAAAGCTTTCTTAAAATATGATACCCTTACATAAAATGTCAATTCTGAAAAGTTCTATATAAAAATTGACATGAAAGCAAGAAACTGCATAGATAACTCAGAAAAGTAATAGAAGAGTTAAGATTATCTATTAAGCTACAAGATTGATTAAAGATGTTGAGTAAGAATTTTGCAAATAAAGCATAATAATTGCTCGCTAGGTTATATATAACTGTACGGAAAGGTAAAATTTTACATTCTTCAAAACATTTGAAAGCACTAATTCTTAAATATTTTAAATACATTCATAATTTAAAACTTAGGAATAAAATCCTCAAACTTCTCATTATCAACAGAGAAAGAAAGTACAGACAAAGCATGCACAGCCAGGTGGACAAGGAAAATCTCTCAAGACCTAGAATCATGCAGAATGGCAACCTTGTCCAAAAACAATCACTTGAAAAAAAAAAAAGTTGACTCACTCAAGACAAGCATTTCTTTGTACACTTACCCAAAATACACGACAAATCTTTCCGTTTCTACCCTGTCAACACAGAAAGAACTGTGGGAGGGGGAAAAGAGGCAGAGGCACCATATGCCAAAATCTCACTAATACTGCTAAACACTTAGAATGACAGTGTAAAACTAAACCTAAAGAAAGCCTTTCTTTTTTTCCCCAAGAGCCTGTAATTTTTGTTTTATGCTAATTACGCCCAGGGCTCTTTGCTATTGACAAATGCTAGCAAGAGGTTCAGCAGCTCCCACTTTGGAAGATGAGCCCATGGCCAACCGTCATGTCAAGACCCACTCAGAACATTCCTTTCCTGGCCTTCTCCAAGGTGCTGACTTGCCAAGCACCGTTAAGCACTGTACATACTTATGACCATGGCAGCTGAGCAAATCTCATTCAGCGCTACTTATAATTACTTAGTAGCTTTAATTAGGATTATTCTTTTTAGAAAAATCCATCCTCAGATCTAAAGCCAATTGTTCCTTGAGTTAGAAAAATTAAAATTCTGTAGCCGATACATCTATACCTTTCACTGTTTGTACAGGAATATATTCAAGAAGGTATAAAATACCATGATAACTTTTAATTACCACTTTACATCAGGAAATCTAAACACTTTTCCAAATCCCCAATGCTTCATTTTCAAATTGCATTCAAAAGCATATGTCAAAATGTAAAGTCCTTGAGCTTAATTTTTAAAGTCCAAGACACCATTTATAAATATGGGGTTACATGCCACATAATTAAAGTGTTTCTGGAGTAAATTGGCATAATAACATTGTTTCTGATTTGGGAAAAATTAAACAATAGAATTGTTAAGTTAGTATGGTGTTGAAAGTAATAAATTGTTTAATGTCAGGATAACTTTTGTTTATGTTTAAATACAAAGAATTTAAGTTTGATATTAAGAAAACATTACAAAGTATATCTCAATAAAATGTCATTATTTTTGTTGCAATATTGTATTGTGACTGTTGTCATCCTTACTAACATTCATTCATTGCTTCACTTAAGTTTTGTTAAAAATTTGCAAATTTAAAGGGAAATTTTGATAAAATAGACATTCATTCATAAATTTTATTTTGACATTTACTTAACTATGTCTGAACTTAAATGTAATTTGTGCTTTCTTGCTCAAATACTAGTTATTAATTGTATTAAAATGTTTTAATATATATTAATTTCCTCTATTCTAAAAAAACTGAAAATTTCTGAAATTTTCTGCCCTGTGATTTTGCACTACCTTATATACTGTTTCCCCCATAGAAAAAAGGGAAAAAAGTGAAAGCAAAAAAAAAACTTTTAAATTATATTTAAATTCAAATGTTCAAGTGATAAGACTAAAAATGACTATTTTGGAAGAACATAAAGTCACTGAGGTTGTGGAAGTATAATTATTCTTTAAACATTTAGTTGAAGACAGAAACTCTCAGCTGAGCTAGCAAAGTTCCTACAGATGGCCACAACTTTGACTTGTAATTACTATTCATTTTCTTTTTCTTCAAGATTATTCACTGACTTAATAGGTGTCCAAGTGTAATTTAAAACTAAAAGAGGCCCAAGTAAGAAAAAGCAATTTCCTGTTTACATTTTATTATATTTCACTGATTTTTTATCATGTTAAATGCCATTCCTTAAGATTTAATTTAAAAAATCATATCATGTCCATGTCATTTAGACTCTGTGTATGCGCTTGTATTTAGTTTTTGTCTTTTGCTTCTGTTGTTGCTGCTTTGTTTTCACTTTTTATGGAAGAAAGGCAGAAAATAATACAATGCAGTTCTAAAAGCAAACAAAATAAGTCATGGCCACTCAATAAATGTGTTCTCTGTGTTCTACATTTTTCTTTCACATAAAAATAAAAAGTACTCAGGTTTCTAAAGTGTGTTTGGACAAAAGGCTTTCAAAGAAAAATAAAGAGCTGATAATAAAACACAGAAGTGTCCAAGGATTATATAAAATAATTTTTACTACTTCATTCCTAAAGAATATGGCACAAAATGTTATAAATTTACCTATGATTCTCAGTTTGTAAAAATGGATATGCAGTCTTACGTTATCTTCCCTAATCTATATCAATGTTAATATAAACAGACCTATAGAACATAATCGTGGGTTTGATTTTTATTGATTGGTTTTAATTTTACATTTTTTTTATAGTACTGGAGTTTGAATTCAGGGCCTTACACTTGCTAGGCAGGGGCTTTGCCACTTTAGCCACACTTCCAGCTCTTTTTTGCTTTTGTTATTTTTCAGATTGAGTCTCCTGTTTTTGACCAGGGTCAGGCTCTAACCACAGTCCTCCAACTTACACTTCCCCAGTAGCTGGGATTACAGGTGTGAGACTTATGCCTGGCCCTTGGTTTTGTTTTTCTTTAAATCATTATCAATTAAGCACAGTATTTTTTCATTTTTAGAAAGGATTTTCTGAATTACTAAAAAAAACTGTCAAATTCAGAACCCTTAGATTTGTTTAATTTTTAATTCTCTTTGCTGCTTCTTCACAATAAAGAACAGGGCAGAAATTCACTAAAAGCATAGTAATATTCATAGTCTAAACAGAAGTCTTCAATAAAGAACAGAAAAGTCTAAAGGACAGCATAATACTGTTTACTTCATTTTTTTTACTTCATACAGAGAAAAGAATTAAAAATCAAAATTATTTAAGAGAACTCAAACATACAATGTTACTGAACATTTACCCAGGTAGGTAATTATTACCTGTCTAGAGAGAGTGTCACAGTTTCATTCATTTCCGGGATGTCGTCGCCTTTGACAGTAATGTTGATTGTTGTGTCACTCTGCCCAGATAGAAACACCACAGAGCCATTAAAGGGCCCTATATCATCCACGGTCACTGCTTGTGAATTAAAGCCAGAGGGCTTCAAACTCCAGTAGACAGTAGCCTGGCCATCAGTTCCATCCCGATGTAAGGGAATGTATATCTTATTTAAAAAAAAAAAATTCTGCTAAAATGTTTGCTGATGAATGATATGATCTGCAGTCAGTACAAGCACATATGTAAATACATGCATTCTATATAAAGAAGTAAACTATGAAATGACCTTAAAAACAATTGAGACCAGTTGCACACACCACTAATCCCAGTACTTGGGAGAGGGAAGCAGAGAGAAGCAGGAAGATCGAGGTCAGCCTGGGCTACATAGCAAGACCCGTCTTAAAACAAATACTGAACAAACAAAAAATAGAAACCACAAAAATACAACAGAAAAAGCCTTCTCTTTCAGTATGGAAGTAGTTTTAGATACTTTTTTTTTTTTTTTTTGCGAATCTAATTTAAAAAATAAAGAGTGTGTGGTGGGGCCCTGTGATCCTAGCTACTCAGGAAGAAGAGATGGAAGAATGTGGTTTGAGGCCAGCCTGGCCAAAAGAGTTAGTGAGACCTTATCTCAAAAAAAAAAAGGTATGCCAGGTGCGATGGCTCACGCCTGCAATCCTAGCTTCTCAGGAAGAAGAGATTAAGAGGATCATCAAAGCAAAATTTCACAAGATTGCTTCTCAACCAATAAATTAGTACATGATGGTAAGCCCCTGTCATCCAAGCTATGCAAGAATCGTAAGGAGGATCACTGTTTATGCCTAGACATAAACACAAGATCCTAACTGAAAAATAACTAAAGTGAAAAAGGGCTGAGGGTGTGTGGCTCAAGTGGTAGAGCACCTGCATTGCAAACACAAGGCCCAGAGTTCAAGTCCCAACACTGCCAAAAAAAGAAAAAGAACGCGGTGAATGTGTTTGTATACACCTGGAACTCCAGCTATTCAAGAGGCAAAAACAGGAGAAAAAGAGCCCAAGACTGACCTGGACAAAAGCATGAGACCCTATCTGAAAAAGCACAAGAAATCAAAAAGGACTGTGGGCTCAAGTGGCAGTGCTGAGTTCAAACTACAGAACCACACACACAAAACTTATTTACAAAATTACCCCCTCCCAAAAATGTGTCTGACCTGGGATTTGTCCTAATAAAAAGGCAAACATTAAAAACCAGAGAATCATGAAGATAGAACACTCTTGCTAAAGAATAAATTCCCATCACGTGTTTTCCAAAAAAAAATTGAAAATTTAAATTGGAAAATAAACTTCACGATTAACATTAGAAAGTGTTATATAAAATGAACCATAGAGTGATAGAAGGCAAAATAAGAAAATCTTTCTAACCAATGCAATAAATATAGGAAAAATAAAATCAGATACTCATTATCATGAGTTCTGGTTACTTAAAGCCTCTCTGGTCTCAATTTCTGCAGGCGAAATGAAGCTAAGAATGCCAATTTCACAAGCTCATGGTGAGGATGAGCTCATTAAACCTGGAAAACTGCCTCACCACTGTGCAAGATAAACACGTGGATGCTATTATAATAATTCTGAAACAAATTCTATTTGTTAGTTTTACTCAAATGCAATACACTTTAAATATATGTAATTTTTTTTAATTTTACTATAGATTGTGATGAAGTCTTCAAAGAATATAAGTGAAGACAATCATAGAGATGCCATTCTCTTTCTACTCCTACAATAGCTATCATCTTTTGTTCTTTGCTTTTTATCTCGGCTAAAAACAAAAACACAGAAGATATTTCTAAGTGACCATTCTGCTACTTTGGCTAGAAATGGTCAGAAACTGAGACCAGTGGGCAAAGTATGATTCTTAGGGAAGACAAAAAGAAAAAACATTAACACAGGACTGGCCCCTCTAACCTGAGGGAGTGATCAAGATCCAGGCTGTATATGGGTCAAAGAAAAAAAGCAAGATATTTGAACTTTTACTGCTCTATCCTAAGGTGGGAACAATTTAGGTCCAAAAATGTTCCTAAAAGCTAACTTCCTTGAAGGGAAAAACTTAAAATGGTAGATTTATATAGCTTTATATGATAAACTAAGAACAAACTAAATGCTTTTTCAGTTTTTAGAAGGAAACAGTGCGCTTTTTAAAATATGGAAAATCAAAACCATCTTGCAAGATGAAACTTCTCTGCCCACTTACAGAATCTAATACATAAACACAGGAAATTGCAGTCACCATATTTTGACATGAGGCTTTGACAATAAAAACTCTCTTCATTCCTGATCTAAACCTCAACCCAACTTAAATCAAATCTAAATCTGAGGAACTTGCAGAGATTTTCAGACAGATTGTGGCTCAAGGAGTGGCAAAGCAGGACAGAGCTGCCCCCAGATAGATGGAGACTTGGCAAAAGCCAACCATGGCCAGGCCAGGGAGTCGGGGTCCCTGGCAGGGAGGAAAGGTCCTCTAAATGTGGATGTGCTTTGAGGTGTGAGATGGATGTGAGGTGTGAGTGTGTGTGTGCATGCAAAAGTTTACATGTAACAAAAAAAATTCCTAAGGCTCAGCATCTCATGCCCACTATCACCTCCACATTAAGCACAGACCCGAGCTGCAACCTCAGTCCTACCTGAAGGCAGCGTGTGGAGTCCTCGGACATGGAGAAGGTCAAGAACACCTGTGGTACCACAACTGGGCCATTAAAAACAGATGGACGTTTGACTATGACCACTTCAAACCAATCACATCTAAACAGCCTACTCTCACCGTAAGCGACTGATTCTAATTTTATTCTATCAAATATAGCAAGAATGATGGAAAAATCACACATTCGTCAGTCACTTATGTCAAGTTACTTATGGACATCCTGGTGTAAATAGCAAAGGTTTTCAAGATGTTAACTCTGCGTGCTAACTCTCTGTACCGAAAAGAAAAGAAGAGGGGAGCGGAGGGGAGCGGAGCGGAGTGGAGGGGAGGGAAAGGAAAGGAAGTGAAAAGGAGGATAGTATCTACACATAACCTCAAACTTATTAGACCACATCAGTAAGAAAGAACCTACTTACCATTTCAGCAGCAGAATCTTCGGGCTCACGTAGAATGACTGGAATATTACTAATAAAGCCAATTTCTCCATTTGCAATGGCTGGAGTAACCAGCAAAGAAATATTTTGAATTTTTCCAAATCTAGGGCTTACAGGTGGAATTGGGGGAAATATGTCCACCAACACTGCAGTTTCCAACTATAGCAAACAAACAAAAACAGAGGACAAAAATTTTAAAATTAAGAAAACCTTCGAGTGAGAGCATGGCTCAAGTGGTAGAGCACTTGCTTAGCGTGCACAAGGCACTCAGTTCAAACCCCAGTACCAAAAAAGAGGGAAGGAAGGGAGGGAGGAAGGGAGGGAGGGAGGGAGGGAGGGAGGGAGGAAGGGAGGGAAAAGGTTACCAACAACTTGGTAACTTCATTCTCTTCCTCCCCATTCCCTATCTCTTTTCAATCTCCTGCACTAGCTGCTTAAACTTCTTCTGCTCCTCAGTTATTATTTGCAGGGTTCTTCCTGAACTCTTTATCTTATAATTTATGCAATCTTAACATTCTCTAGACCTCTTCCTCAAACTCCAACTCATAACCAACTGCCACTGGACATCACATAAATACCACATAGACAACGTGCAGACCGAAGATCCAAATAGACAATGATCTCTGTTCCATGCTCCCTTACCACTACCATCATCAGTACCACCACTGGTTTTTTCTCCTTGTCACCTACATCCAGCTTTTTAAAGTCTAATCCCAGAGAACTACCCCTACCTCCTGCCTCTCACTGATCCACTCCTCTTCTCTGTCAGACAAAATCCAGTATCAGAACACCATTCATAACTCCAATCATAACTTAACATATCACTATGTTTGTAAAGAAATGCAAGTATAAATACGACACCCTTGTAATTAATGAAGATGACACCATAGTAATTTTGAATGGTGTTCCCCTTACCTAGAGTTTCCTCCCTTCATTATCTTGCAAGTTCAAAAGATACCCACCCTTAAAATCAGGTAAATCTCCCCTCCTCTTCCATGAAATTTCCTTCAATTCTCCAAACTTCTGTCCTGTTCTGAAGTTCTACTGCTATTCTCATTAAACTTAAAACTTCATTACAAGCTTCAAATATGTGTTCCAGATTTTTACTTCCTGACATGTGTAGAGCTCTTTAAGGGTCTGTGTCCTCGTATTTTCCCAATACATGTCATAAACCTGAATCTACAGCACCTGCACAGTGAATATTTGCTAATTCATCTCCCTCCCCCGCCGAAAAAAAAAACTGAGCTCTTTAGGAATTCTAATTTATCACCAACCTTCCACATCTTACATATTGGGATACTGCAGAATCTAACTTACCAATCTACACAGGGTTCATTCACTTGAGGGGTGTAATAGTAGAGAATTGTTATAGTATTGTAAAACCCAGAGGGATTTCATACTTTATGAAACATTGTGTGTCCCTCATTCTACAGAGCCCTCTGCTCTACTTTATAATGTTAAAATGATGCCACCAAATGCCCACTAGTGGAGATTTGTGATTTAAGAACTGGTACGGCTCTCCCACATACTTTTACACATTGTGATGAACAATGTGCATTCTAAAGGGCAAAGATAAATGCCTTTTTTTTTTTCAGTACTGGGGTTTGAACTCAGGGCATCATGCTTGCTGGCAGGCACTCTACCACTTGAGCCACACCCCAGATCAGTCAGTGCCTAAAAAGACATGTCATGCATTTTGCTTTGAAAACTGTGGGGAAAAGACATAAATAATTCTATATTTGGTAAGTATTCATTTGAATAAAAGAAAAAAGAATTGATACACACTAAGCCAAGTAAAATAAAACATGTAATTCTTTACTATATAGAATTGACTTTACCAAGTAAATAAAATGGAAAGATAAATACACAGTTAAAATCACATAAGTCTAACTTATATTTTCTAGAGAAAAGAAATATATACACACATGAATATAGTCATCTTACAAAATAGCACAAAAATAAATAAAATATACATATTTGAGTGGAATACAAAAATAAGCTTGTGCATCGCTTAGAGGCACAGATAGTTCTAAAATAGTGGTCCCATGTGAATAAATGTCTGTTCCCTATAATCACAAAATGCTAAACTGTTAAATACTGTGTAAGACATTAAGGAAATAAACTCAGTATGCTTTTACTCAAAACTTTGCAAAAAGAAAAGAAGAAAATAACTCATTTTAGTTACATTTATCCAAGAAAAAAGTTAGCAAATTAATTCCGGAGATAGTATTTTAGAAAAATACAAAGAAATGATATTGAAGGTTACGAAATGAACTGATCAAAAAAGGAAATGCTAATTTTACATCAGCTTATTTCCCAGTTTTCAGTCTTTTTTGCCTAGGATTCTGAAGCATCTGCAAAATCAAACTGTTCCATTCATTCATAAAGAATTGTTCTTTGCTTTCAGATAGCTTGTTGCTGGGATAGCATATTAGTATCCCCAGGCCTGCCAAAAGTTGTATCTGAGACAATATTTAACTAAGAGGGTTACTGAACAATGAGGGGCATATGTCTCAGATTCTCCTTTCTTCAGTTTCATTCAGCTTCCCATGCAGTCTGATGCTTCCTATTCTTGATTTGTTCATTCATTACATACTATGCAGAGCATACAGCCTTCTTATCCCAACCAGACTTCCATTGCACATGTTTTAACCTCAAGGAATTGTGTCAGTGACAAATAATGCCTCTCCTCCTAAACAAGTGTTCCATTTACTGTTTGCACTGTAAGGCTTTTGTTTTTTAACTGAATAGACAGACACATAAAGAACTGAGTCTGGAATTAGTGGAGCAAACAACTTTCCAGTTCAAGGTCACCAAAAAAATCAACTATCACATAGTTCTTTCAAGCTTTTTCTTAGTTTTCAAGTATAATCAAAGATAAATTCTGTTGTGTTTATAGAGAATAGTGAAATGAAGTTGATATGATAATATTTGACCTTCAGAAGGTCCTTAATGAGGATTTGTTTACATGAGAATTCTCTACAGCTACTTTGAAAGAACTATTGTATATTTTCAAAAGATTCAAAGTTTAATTTCAAAGCTACTGACATTAACATAGATATAGAGATCTCTATAAACAGTAAACACTAGTTTAGTGGCATCATGACAAATAAATTGGAATGGAAACAGAAAAACTTTAACTCCAAAACATTTCTGCCTTGTCAATCCTCACTTACATCACTGAAGCTACTCTAGGATCACCATGATGATCTGGACTATATGAGAACAAAAACAACAGTGTGAAATACTTGCCACCTGTGTTTTGTTTTACTAATTTGGTTTTCATATACATTGTAACCTATATGAGACTGGAGACAGTCAGAGGAGAGAACAGAACACACTGAGATACTAGTGATAAAAATCCTTAAATGTCAATTAATGAGAATGTTCTGAATCCAGACGATGCCAATAGCAGAGAAGATGATAAAGAACACTGACAGCAAAGCAAAAGAATCTTTGCTAAATTCTGAAACTCCACACAGACACTCTTGAAATTTTGGAGAAAACTACTGTACATGTGAACTGGTGAAATCAGTATGCATTACCATTTAACACGATCAGTCTTAAAAATCCAAACAAGTTATCATGTTTTTGTATAAAGGCAAAGTTCAAGTTGCTCTTTTTGATTTCTTAAATGCATGTGTATGTACTCTAGAGGCAGCATTCTAGTTGTTTTAACTTCTTGCTTAACAGGGTTCTGGTCCTTGGCTTGGCCATTAGCTTTGTTTCACTTCCCTTGCCCTCTGGTCAGTCATCTGACAAGAGCATTCCACAAGCCAAGGAAGAAAGGGACACCACTGTGAATAAAGTTGTGTTATGTATACCCGTACACCAGGAAGAACTCACAGTCCTTCAGAGAACAGGTTAATCTCATAGATAGAAGCACACAGCAAAATTTTCCCACTTGGAGGAGACACAACAAAATAATAATAATAAAGATCAAGATCAAGATTTCCCTCCACTAGTGACATTAGGGAGATGGCAAAGGCTTCCTTCTGTGTTGGCCACCACTGGGGCATGTAGAGTGCCAGCATGAGTGGCACAGCTGAGAAAAAGAGTCTTCAAAGGAAAAAGCGTTAGTCAAGGTGGGCCCCAGGCCTGTGAAATTCAGGACACCAAGGAGAAGTTATAACATGCTTTCAGAAGTAAACGACAAGTTACTAAAGATAAATTATTTCCTTCTTTTCGAATTTCTTATCAGCAACTCTGGAAGCTAAAGGACAATACATTTGCACTACCTGATTCTGTGTTTATTTACAAAATCAATGCATCTTGATTGCTTTCTAATTTTCAGAACCAACTCAATAATATCAAATATATTAAAGCATTACAATATTATCAGACATGAGTGCAGTTACTTTAAATTTTGATGATAGAAATGTTTTCCTAAGTAGAAGATGAGAAATAAGGATATGTTATGAAGTTCATATTTTTCATTATTAAATAGTGGAAAGTTCAGAGATTCTATCCACAGTTATAAAGAAACAGATTTTTGGACCACACATGGTGGTGTCTCTAATCCCAGTTACTAGAGAGGCAGAGGTAGAAGGTTCATGGCTTAAGGCAAGCCCAAGAATGAATCCCTATCTGAAAAACAAAGAGTGAGAGGACTGGGGGGTATGGCTCAAGTGACAGAGCACTTGTCTAGCAAGTGTGAGGCCCTGAGTTCACTTCCTAGTATGGGCAGGGAGGAAGATATAGAATTTTGAACTATTTAAAAGAAAAAGTTTTCTTTCTGAAGAAAGAGATTGAGGAAGACTATAGAAAGTGGAGAGATCTCCTACGCTCATGGATTGGTAGAATCAACATAGTAAAAATGTCTATACTTCCAAAAGTAATCTACATGTTTAATGCAATTCCCATCAAAATTCCAATGACGTTCATCAAAGAGATTGAAAACTCTACCGTTAAATTTATATGGAAACATAAGAGGTCACGAATAGCCAAGGCAATACTCTGTCAAAAGAACAACACAGGAGGTATCACGATACCTGACTTCAAACTCTATTACAAAGCAATAACAATAAAACAACATGGTACTGGCACAAAAACAGACATGAAGACCAGTGGAACAGAATAGAGGACTCCGATATGAAGCCACACAACTATAACCAACTTGTCTTTGACAAAGGAGCTAAAAATATACGATGGAGAAATAGCAGCCTCTTCAACAAAAACTGCTGGGAAAACTGGTTAGCAGTCTGCAAAAAACTGAAACTGGATCCATGTTTATCACACTATACCAGTATTAACTCAAAATGGATCAAGGACCTTAATATCAGACCCCAAACTCTAAAGCTGGTACAGGAAAGAGTAGGAAATACTCAGGAATTAATAGGTATAGGCAAGAACTTTCTCAATGGAACCCCAGCAGCTCAGCAACTAAGAGATAGCATAGATAAATGGGACTTCATAAAACTAAAAAGCTTCTGCTCAACAAAAGAAATGGTCTCTAAACTGAAGAGACCACCCATAGAGTGGGAAAAAATATTTGCCAGCTACACATCAGACAAAAGACTGAAGACAAAACTAAATTCTCCCAAAATTAATGAACCAATAAAGAAATAAATGAGCAAGTGAACTAAACAGAACTTTCTCAAAAGAAGAAATTCAAATGGCCAAAAAACATGAAAAAAATGCTCACCATCCCTAGCAATACAGGAAATGCAAATTAAAACCACACTAAGATTCCACCTCACCCCTGTTAGAATAGCCATCATTAGCAACACCACTAACAACAGGTGTTGGTGAGGATGTGGGAAAAAGGAACCCTCTTACACTGCTGGTGGGAATGTAAACTAGTATAACCACTCTGGAAAAAAATGTGGAGGCTACTTAAAAAGCTAAACATTGATCTACCATTTGATCCAGCAATACCACTCTTGGGGATATACCCAAAAGAATGTGACACAGGTACTCCAGAAGCACCTGCACACCCATGTTTATTGCAGCACTATTCACAATAGCCAAGTTATGGAAACAGCCAAGATGCCCCACTACTGACGAATGGATCGAGAAAATGTGGTATTTATACACAATGGAATTTTATGCAGCCATGAGGAAGAATGAAATGTTATCATTCACAGGTACCTGGATGGAATTGGAAAACATCATTCTTAGTGAGGATAGCCTGGCCCAATAGACCAAAACTCGTGTGTTCTCCCTCATATGTGGACATTAGATCAAAGGCAAACACAACAAGGGAATTGGACTTTGAACACATGATAAAGCAAGAGCACACAAGGGAGGTATGAGGATAGGTAAGACACCCAAAAACCTAGATAGCATTTGTTGCCCTCAACACAGAGAAACTAAAGCAGATTCTTTAAAGCAACTGAGGCCAATAGGAGAAGGGGACCAGGAACTAAAGAAAAGGTTAGTTTGAGAAAAATTAACTTAGAAGGTAACACACATGTACAGGAAATCAATGCATGTCAACTCCCTGTATAGCTATTCTTATCTCAACTAGCAAAAACCCTTAGTCCTTGCTATTATTGCTTCTACTCTCTCTTCAACAAAATTAGAGATAAGGGCAGGATATTTTCTGCCTGGTAGTGAGGGGTAAGGGGGGGTAAGGGAAGGGGCAGAGGGGTAAGGGGTCGGGGGGAAGGGGGGAGAAATAACCCAAACAATGTATGCACATATGAATAAAACAAAAATTTTTTAAATAAATAAATAAATAAAAGAGAAAGTTTTCATACTGCATTTTAAAATTTCTATAATGACTCTTCTGTAATATTTATTGTGAAAAACATGTTTCTTCCACAGACCCCATTCTTATGTCACATTTTCTCAAATCAATTCAAAGCAATGGTGAATCTCTGTATCCTGCCCTTCCTAACAGTGTGTTAAATTACTCCATTGTGTCATCCACTCCAGTTTACTCTGCACTTTGTGTCTGGTGTACTTTTTATATCACCTAATTAGAATGTTAATTTTAGTACAACTCTCATTTTATTCAGGATTATATACCTTAGGAACAGCATAGTCTTTCTTTGGGCTCCCTAAATAACTTTAAACACCAAATGAAATCTAAAATATAAATAAGAATAAAATAACGATTAGTTTACTTTCTTATATAGATAAGCACACTTGCAGTTTAAACAAAATTGAGATTATTTTAATCATTAAAGTACCTGTACTAGGAAGTGGGCCCCATTTTGAAGAAATGCATCATTTCTTATTGGTAATTTTGCAGTGACTTGGGTTTTATTCTCTAGAAACACAAGGCTGCTTCTCCCGGATATATTTAAGATGCCATCCTTTGCTCTCAAGGGGTCCACATCTCCAGCAGGAATATAAAGTGAAGAATAAAGCATCCTCACATCCCCTTTAGTTCCTCCTAGCCTTGTAAAACTCAAGGATAGATATCGTTCCCCTGGATAACTTTCAATCTTCTGGTTTTCCATAGGAAAAAATGCTATTAGACCATAAACATCATCACTGTCCCGAATATATAACAAAAGCTGCAAATGAAGAAATAAAATATTAAAGTACAGAATTCTTACATCTGAGATTATCAAACTCTACATTCTAGGCTATTTTGTTTTTTAATATCTATTTTTATAGTATGTGTAAAATGAGAAGAGAGTAAAAGATAAATCAAAACTGGATTTGAGAACTTTCTCAAATTACAGTTTTTGAACATTTTTAAAGAGTAAAATAGTAGAGCTGGTACTGTAGCTCAGTAGTAGAGCACTTGCCTTGCATGTACAATGCCCTAGGTTCCATACCCAGCACTAGAAAAAGAGAGAAACGGCAAGTAAAATATTTATGAAGGAACCTTCACTTCCAAAGCCAGTTTTTTTTTCTTTTCACAATGAAGAAAACATAAATTTCATTTATGATCAAATTCTTTGGCTTTTCTATAGCCCAGAAATACTGACAAGAATAAAACATAACTAAAGCTCTACCTCGGCTGGCTCGCTCACTTCAGCACCTCCTTGTATTGTGTGAGGCAGAATTTTAAGAAGAAAAGCTTCGGCCTCTTCTGGGAGATCATCGTCAACAATGGTAAGAGGAACTGATGTCAACATCTGCCCTTGTGCAAAATGGAGAACCCCAGAACTTGGTCTGATATCTGTTGTCACCGGTGAGGAATCACTGCTGTTCCGTGTCAACACCCAGTTCACAGAAACATTCCCATGGGTGCCACCATTTCTAACCACAGTAATTTCTTCAAATCTAGAATTGTTTGAAAGAATGTATATTGTCACATCATACATTGTATTTCCCTTAGAGAAGCTTCTCAATGTCATATTAGCCATCAGATAATGGTAAAATCAGAATCCATCACAAAAAAAAATTGTATTTAATGGGAGTAGATATGAGGATGTGTCTTAATAAATTATCAGAATGTGAATTCATATGCATAGTTAAATCATATTCAAAATATAAAGAAAATAGTGAAACAATGGTAGAGAAGATGACATATGCTCTAACATTTCAGCATTGTGTCCAGTACCACAAAAATTAAATCATGGGATAACATATTAAAATAATTGTATCAGGTTTAAAATAAATCATACCTTGATGTTACATCTTCATCAATTATAACAGGTCTTTCAAACAAAATACTGTTGAATGAGAGAACTCCATAAGGTTTGTCATTTGGCTTAATGGTGACTTGTATAATAGAAGGGCCTATTAGCACAGCATCTCCCTGTAAGGTATCCTTTAGTAAAATAATGTGAAATGATTCAGCAATCTCTGGTATGGTGTCATCAATTATTTGAAATTTCAGGTGTGATTCATGTATAAAAGGTGGGAAAACAATAGTTGGGTTTGGTTGAAGATCAATGAAGTCTAAATTTTGCTGTGCGTGTGTTGTTGAATTTCCAGTTACAACTGTGTATCTGATTGAAACTTCATATTCATCAGATCCAATCAGATTTCCATCATTGTCCTTTCCACGAACCACTGGAATTATGAGTATGTGGTCTTCCTCAGGTACCAGATAAACACTCTGAATGAAACTCACAGGACCATCATTTTTCTTAATGATGATCTCAACTGAATTCCTAGAGGTGTTAATCTCAGCTCCTCCTTCTACACTTATCAATTGAATCAAAAATATTTCATCATTTTCTGGTACCTGTCAAAGGAATATAAACAGAAGGAAAATATCGATAGCCAAAATATGAAAACCAAAGAACAAAAAGTGACTATCTTTCAATGCAATTACATAGAAATAAAAAATATTTAGTTTAAGAGGAAAAACTGACAGGTTTGCTTAGTCTCCATGTACTAAAATATTTTCCAAAGTTAGTCTCTTTTACAGTGGGATGGAAAAGTTAATAAAACAATGGCATGAAGAATTAATGATGAATAATTATATTTTTCAAGCATGATCTGACTTTTGGCAAACTATAAAGACTACACAGGAAAAATAATGTAAAGTTTTATGAATTTGTTTTTTGGCAGTACTGGGGTTTGACACATGCTAGGCAGACACTCTACTGCTTGAGCCACTCCACCAGCCCGAATTCTTATAAATTTTATCTGGTCAGTAGGATCAGAAACAGGATCCAAAGTCTAAGAATATCTAAGAATCTTGAAAAGTATAGTAAATATCACAAGTTCTTACTTTACTCCAAGTGGTTTCTAATTCAGGAGTTAAATGTATGACACATATCATGTGGTTTCCAAAATATACATCTTGTCTCTCCAGAGAATGAACTATAAGAGTCACTACTAGACACTGTTAAAGTGAAAACTGTTTTTCTAACTGCAGATATTCTCTCTTCACTGTTCTGAGTTTTTCATTCACTCTAAATTCTATTTTATAAATGAAAGTGAAAAAACATTATTTTATCTCTGTCGATAGCAATATAACAAAGTAAACCTACTTATCTCAAAAATAAAAATGCTATATGACTGGTCTCTTTTAAAGTTACAGCTAAAATGTACAGTTAATCATCCCCACAATTATAATCTTCAGTATCTTGAGATCTCAGAACAGAAATTTTCTGTTGGCTTCTAGAACTAGATAAACTAGAGTAATCCAATGATACTAAACACCATATTTTTCAATCTTAAGAATCTATATATTAACAAGTTATATCTCCAAGTAGATAGCTGAATATTATAACTCCAAATAGACAGTTATTTATACCTAAAGTGTGGTTGGCCTCAATATACTAACTTCACAAAAGACTATATTCTTGAATAATTTCAAATACTGAACACAATTTGACAGTGAACATAGGAGTGCTAACATTTCTATAACACAGACAAAGTTATTGTCTCCTCTGTAGATTTAACATTGCCCACCTCATCATCAAGTATTGTCAAGTTATAAATTATTATTGCTCTGCCAGGGGGAAAGGTGATATTTCCTCTAACTGGACTGAGGTCTTCTTCAGGGGGATTTGGACCACCCTCTACCTGAAAAAAAGTATACAAAGCCATCAATAAGCACAAAATATTTCATAAGACTAAGAAAACATTATTGGTAGGCAGATACAAAATCTGAAGATTACTTAAAGATGCTTCATAAGTATTATAAGAGCCTATATGTAAGTCTGCTCTTCTAATTAACAGTCAAGGTCTGTAATTATACACCTTGAATATAATTAAATTAAACTATGTCATAATATCTCTTCATTTTTTTTTTCTTAACAATTATATTAACCTGAGGGAGAAGCTCTAGATCTACTTCTTGGGAGGAAAGATATGGAAAACTAGGAAATTCCCTTAAGAAATGGATGTAGGTTAGTGCACCCACTCTGGAAATCACTATGGAGATTCCTTGAGAAACTAAAAATAGAACTACAATATGACCCTGCTATCACACACTTGCCATCTATCCAAAGGAATCTAAATCAACATACAAGAGAATACCTGCTCACCCATGTTTATAGTGGCACTAATTACAATAGCCAAGATTTAGAACCAATCTAGGTGCCAAACATCCAACAATTACATAAAGAAAGAAAATGTGGTACATATATACAATTATTCAACCATTGGAGGAATAAATTATTTCATCTACAGAAAAATGAATAGAACTGGAGATCATCATTTTAAGCCAAATAAGCCAAGCTCAAAAAGACAAATACTACGTTTTTACTCATATGTGGAATCTAGACTACAAAAAATGATAGCATGACACAATTGCAAAAGGAGGAACTTGTGGAAGACGGAAAAATTGAGTGGGAAGAATCGGGAAAAAGAGAGGATTGAACCTTGAGGTGAATAGTATAGAAGCACCATTATGCATGTATGAAAATATCCATATAAAACCCACCAAAAACTGTTAAAAAAGAAGTTGGGAAGCAGAGCAGGAGTTAAGAAAGACACTACAGACTTTACAAGATACAGTGGAATGTTAATGAAAAGTACATTATAGGAGATCGAAGATGGCAGCTAAAGGAGGGAAGCAGAAAGTGTGGCTTCTTATAGTGAATCTTGGAGAGCGCGTGGGAGACACACCTTGCCAGCAAAAAACCACAAGAAGAAGGCAAAATTTTGACCCCTCCACACCTCCAGCCTGACAGAAGCATCTTCCCACTTAAACGTTAAACGAGAAACCAGGAGGGCCCCCGGGCACCAGTCGCCCGAGCCCAGAAGACATGGGAAGACGTGGACAAGTTTTGTTCTACTTTATGCGTCCCATTTGATGAGACAACTACAGAACAACATCTGAGGCACCATCTCCAGGATTGGAGACTGAGACGGACACCAAAATTATTAAGACTGAAACTTCACTGCATTTGAACATGGAGGTTTTTCCTTTTTATCTATTTTTCATTTTGTTTTATTGTATTTATATATATATATTTCTTTCATTTACTTATTTTTTATTTTTTATTTCTATCTTATTTTTTTATTTTTTATTTTCAATCTCTCTCTGTCTCTCTAATGCCTGTTCAGCTTACTGTCAATTAGTACACTAACACTCCCTGTTTATACCTTTGAAACTTTCTTGTTTGATTCCTTGTTTTGTTTTCTCCTACTTGTCTGTTTATTTGTTTTTCCCTTTTCTTTAACTTCTTGTTTTCCATCTCATCTCACCCTTCCATTCTAAATATTACCATTGTTATTATTACAAGCTAGAAAATACTTAATTGCACACAGTACAGGACAGTAACAACACAAAGGACAATGAGGAAGACAGAAAAAACAGGGAAACCAGTTTCCCCACAGCAAAAATTAGTACAGGAACCAGAGGGAATGAAGAAAACAGATACTCAGATCCAGACTCCAACAAAATGAAGATAAACTATGCCAAAGACCCAATGAAGCCCACAAGAATAATTTAAAAGAAGACATACTACAGTACTCAATGAGAATTTTATAGAGATGATACTGGATAGGGTCAACCAAAATGTACAGGAGACACTCAAGAAATTCCAAGACAACAAAATAGAGAATTTGAAAAAGCAAAAGAAGAAATAAAGGAAACCATAGAAGCACTGTATAAACACCAAAGTGAAAGAGAGAACACGATAATAAAAGATAAATGAACTCAGGACAAAAATAGACAACATTAAAGAGGAAACACCAGGATATGGAAAACCTCAGAAAAAAGAATGAACAGAACTGCAAAACAAAACGAAGGCCAATCCAGCAGAATAGAACAAACAGAAGACAGAATCTCAGAACTTGAAGATGAAATGGTAATTAAAGGAAAAACAAAGAACTATATTAAACAACTCAAGACCTGTGAAAAGAAAATGCAAGAACTCACTGACTCCATCAAAAGACCAAACTTGAGAATCATGGGCATCGAAGAAGGAGAAGAGGTGCAAGAAGGGAATGCTAATATATTCAACAAAATAATAACGGAAAATTTCCCAAATCTAGAGAAAGATATTCCCATACAGATGCAAGAGGCCTCCAGGACACCAAACAGACCAATCAAAATAGAACTCCACAACATATCATCATTAAAACAACAAGTTCAGAAACTAAGGAAAGAATATTGAAGGCTGTAAGAGAGAAAAAACAAGTAACATACAAAGGTAAACCCATCAAAATCACAGCAGACTTCTCAACAGAAACATTAAAAGCAAGAAGAGTGGTGAGTAGATCTTCCGGCACTGAATGAAAATAACTTCAACCCAGGATACTCTACCCAGCAAAACTATCATCCAAAATAGATGGAGCAATAAAAGTCTTCCATGATAAGCAGAAACTAAAACAATATGTGACCACAAAGCCACCACTACAAAAGATTCTTCAAGGGATTCTGCACACAGAAAGTGAAACCCAACTAACCATGAAAAACAGGCAGCACCAAACCACAGGAAAAGAAAAAGCAAGAAAGTAGAGAGTAACCTCAACTTAGGTACACACAATCAAACCTTCAAACAACTAAGACAACTAAATGACAGGAATCACCACATACCTATCAGTACTAACACTTAATGTTAATGGACTTAATTCACCCATCAAAAGGCACGCTTGACGAAATGGATTAAAAAGGAAGATCCAACAATTTGTTGCTTACAGGAACCCATCTCACTGACAGAAATAAGCATAGGCTTAGGATGAAAGGCTGGAAGAAGATTTACCAAGCCAATGGCCCCGAAAACAGGCAGGAGTAGCAATACTTATCTCTGACAAAGTAGACTTCAAACCTACATTGATCAAATGAGATAAAGAAAGACATTCCATACTAATAAAAGGGGAAATAGACCAAAAGGAAATAATAATATCAATCTGTATCACCCAATGTCAACGCACCCAATTTCATCAAACTACCCTGAAAGACCTAAAAGCATATATTAACCCAACACAGTGGTTGTGGAGACTTTAACCCCATTATCATCAATAGATAGTCATCCAACAAAAATCATAAAGAAATCCAAGATCTAAAATATATAATAGATCAAATGGACCTAGTTGATGTCTACAGAACATTTCATCCAACTTCTACACAATATACATTCTTCTCAGCAGCCCATGGAACCTTCTCCAAAATAGATCATATCCTAGGGCACAAAGCAAGCCTCAGCAAATATAAGAAAATAGAAATTATACCGTGCATACTATCTGATCACAATGCAGTAAAACTAGAACTCAACAACAAAGTAAAGACAAAAACATGCAAACAGCTGGAAACTAAATAACTCATTACTTAATGAACAATGGATCATCGATGAAATAAAGAGGAAATTAAAAGTTCCTGGAAGTCAATGAAAATGAAAACACAACCTACCGGAACCTATGGGACACAGAAAGGCAGTCCTGAGAGGAAAGTTTATAGCCATGAGTGCATATAAAAAGACTGAAAGATCCAAATCAATGACCTAATGATACATCTCAAACTCCTAGAAAAACAAGAACAAGCAAATCCCAAAACAAATAGAAGGAGAGAAATAATAAAAATAAGAGCTGAAATCAATGAAAATAGAAACCAAAAAAAACCATACAAAGAATTAATGAAACAAAAAGTTGGTTCTTTGAAAAAAATAAACAAGATGATAGACCCCCTGGCAAACCTGACTAAAATGAGGAGAGAAAAAACCCCAAATTAGTAAATCAGGAATGCAAAAGGGGAGATAACAACAAACACCATGGAAGTCCAGGAAATCATCAGAGACTACTTGAACCTATATTCAAATAAATTTTGAAAATCTTAAAGAAAATGGACAGATTTCTAGATACATATGATCATCCAAAACTGAACAAGAGGATTAATCACCTGAATAGATCTATAACACAAAATGAAATTGAAGCAGCAATCAAGAGTCTCCCCAAAAGAAAAGTCCAGGACCTGATGGATTCTCTGCTGAATTCTATCAGACCTTTAAGAAGAGACTGATACCAACCCTCCTTAAACTGTTCCATGAAATAGAAAGGGAAGGAAAACTGCCAAACAACATTTTATTGAAGCCAGTATTACACTTACCCAAAACCAGGCAAAGACACCTCCAAAAGGAGAACTATAGGCCAATCTCCTTAATGAACATTGATGCAAAAATCCTCAACAAAATAATGGAAAACCGAATTCAACAACACATCAAAAAAGATTTCTCACCATACCAAGTAGGCTTCACCCAGGATGCAGGGTGGTTCAACATACGAAAATCAATAAACGAATAAACCACATTAACAGAAGCAAAGACAAAAACCACTTGATCATCTCAATAGATGCAGAAAAAGCCTTTGATAAGATCCAACACCATTTCATGATAAAAGCTCTAAGAAAACTAGGAAATAGAGGAAAGTACCTCAACATTAAAAGTATATATGACAAACTACAGCCAGCATTATACTTAACTGGAGAAAAAACTGAAACCATTCCCCTCTAAAATCAGGAACCAGACAAGGATGCCCACTATCTCCACTCCTATTCAACATAGTACTGGAATTCCTAGCCAGAGCAATTAGGCAAGAAGAAGGAATTAAAAGGAATACAAATAGGTAAAGAAACTGTCAAAATATCCCTATTGGCAGATGACATGATCCGATACCTTAAAGACCAAAAACTCTACTCAAAGCTTCTAGACATCATCAATACTAGCAAGGTAGCAGGATATAAAATCAACATAGAAAAATCATTAGCATTTCTATACACTAAATAATGAACAAACTGAAAAAATGTATGAAAACAATTCATTTACAATAGCCTCAAAAAAATCAAATACCTAGTGTAAACCTAACAAAGATGTGAAAGACCTCTACAAGGAAAACTATAAACTTCTGAAGAAAGAGATTGAGGAAGACTATAGAAAGTGGAGAGTCTCCCATGCTCATGATTGGAAGAATCAACATAGTAAAAATGTCTATACTCCCAAAAGTAATCTACATGTTTAATGCAATTCCCATCAAAAATTCCAATGACATTCATTAAAGAGATTGAAAAATCTACATTAAATTTATATGGAACACAAAGACCACGAATAGCCAAGGCAATACTCAGTCAAAAGAACAATGCGGAGGTATCACAATACCTTGACTTCAAACTATATTACAAGCAATAACAATAAAACAGCATGTACTGGCATCCAAAAACAACATGAAGACCAGTGGAACAGAATAGAGGCACCAGATATGAAGCCCACACAACTATAACCAACTTGTCTTTGAAAAGGCTAAAAATATACGATGGAAAAAGCAGCCTCTTCACACAAAAACTGCTGGGGAAAACTGGTTAGCAGTCTGCAAAAAACTGAAACTACATCCATGTATATCACCCCTATACCAATATTAACTCAAAATGGATCAAGGATCTTAATATCAGACCACAAACTCTAAAGTTGATACAGGAAAGAGTAGGAAATACTCTGGATTAGTAGGTATAGGCAAGAACTTCTCAATGGAAACCCCCAGCAGCACGCAACTAAGAGATAGCATAGATAAATGGGACTCATAAAACTAAAAAGCTTCTGTTCATCAAAAGAAATGGTCTCTAAACTGAAGAGGAACACCCACCAGAGTGGGAGAAAATATTTGCCACTACACATCAGACAAAGGACTGATAACCAGAATATATAGGGAACTTAAAAAACTAAATTCTCCAAAACTAATGAACCAATAAAGAAATGGGAAGTGAACTAAACAGAACTTTCTCAAAAGAAGAAATTCAAATGGCCAAAAAACACATGAAAAAATGCTCACCATCTCTAACAATAAAGGAAATGCAAATAAACCACACTAAGATTCCACCTCACCCCTGTTAGAATAGCCATCATTAGCAACACCACCACAACAGGTGTGGCGAGGATGCGGGGAAAAAGGACCCTCTTACACTGTTGGTGGGAATGTAAACTATACAACCACTCTGGAAAAAATTTGGAGGCTACTTAAAAAGCTAAACATTGATCTACCATCTATGATCCAGCAATACCACTCTTGGGGATAACCTGAAAAGACTGTGACACAGGTTACTCCAGAGGCACTGCACACCCATGTTTAATTGCAGCACTATTTCACAATAGCCAAGTTATGGAAAACAGCAAGAGCCCCACTACTGACATGAATGGATTAAGAAAATGGTGTATCGATACACAATGGAATTTTATGCAGCCATGAAGAAGAACGAAATGTTTACAATTTGCTGGTAAATGGATGGAATTGGAGAACATCATTCTAGTGAGGTTAGCCTGGCCCAAAAGACCAAAATCGTATGTTCTCCCTCATATGTGGACATTAGATCAAGGGCAACACAGCAAGGGATTGGACTTCTGAGCACATGATAAAAGCGAGAGCATACAAGGGAGGGGTGAGGATAGGTAAGACACCTAAAAAATTAGCTAGCATTTGTTGCCCTAACACAGAGAACTAAAGCAGATACCTTAAAAGCAACTGAGGCCAAGTAGGAATAGGGACCAGGAATAGAGAAAAAGGTTAGATCAAAAAGAATTAACATCTAGAACGTAAACACACACACACAGGAATTAATGTTGAGTCAAATCCCTGTATAGCTATCCTTATCTCAACCAGCAAAAACACTTGTTCCTTCCTATTATTGCTTATACTCTCTCTTCAACAAAATTAGAGAGAGGGCAAAAATAGTTTCTGCTGGTATTGAGGGGGTGAGGGGGAGAGGGGGGGCCAGAGTGGTGGTAAGGAGGGGTGGGGGCAGGGAGGAGAAATGACCTCAAGCCTTGTTGCACATATGAATAATAGAAAACAATAAAAAGAAAATAAATAAATAAAAGTACATTATACTCATGTTGTAAATACCACAATGAAACCCCTTTGTACAATTAATTTATGCTAATAAAATTTTTGTTTGTTTGTTTGTTTTTTTCATTTTTCTTTTATTTAAAACAAATGGAATCAAATGTGAGTTCCACCACTGAGTGTGTGATCTTGAGCAAGTTATTTAACAACACTGTGCAGATTTTCATCTTAAAATGAACACAAGAATTTCCATTTTACAGGCTGCGACATGAACATGTAACAAAATCACTCATTTAAAGGAGTATTTGCTGAGTAGTATGTGCCTGTATCTTTTAGTCCCAAGGATGTAGCAGCGGACAAAGCAAACTCCTCCACATCGATCTTACAGTTAATGGAAAGGAAAAATAATGAAAAAAATAAATGTATATTCCAGATGGTGACAAATATTATAAGAAAAAGATTAAGAAGTTAATGACGGGAGTGCTAGGAGGGAGGGCTGATTTTTGTTACGCAGCCATAATCAGTGTAAGGCACTTACAGGAGTATATAGCAATACAAATGTTACCTGCAATTATTTAAAGAAAGTAATATGCTAACAATACCAATAAAATAACTTTAGACAATCATAAATAAATTGAATACACTATAACCATGGACTTATCCTTTCCACAGAATAATTATCTTCTAATTTCCTTCCCATTCTAACTTTTAGAAATACATTCAAAAAAACTGTTATCTAAATGCACATTCTAAGTATATGAAAAACTATGTAAGGCTCCCGTGTTGACCTTGAAAGATTACTCTGTATTGAGTTGGTGTTTGTTATATATTTCAGACATTATTATCTTATCCTATTTGTGTTCAGATGTCACTCAATAACCAAATATCCACCTGATGTGGACACCTATGGAGTATAAATAAAAAACTCTTCTGTTACAGTTGCAGTTATGTATATAAACTCAAGTATCCAGTCTATTAATATTACAAGTAATAATTAAGTTGGAAATTGATATCCAAACTTTCTAATATTCTAACACTTGAAAATAATATATTTGAAACATGGTTAGATTTTTTAACATTGAACATGTGTTTAAGCCTTAAAAACTAAGGCTTAAAAATAAGTTGAAAATTTAAGTGTAAATAAAAGTAAAACCTCATAAATAAATAAAAATAAACCTCATAAAATAGCAGTGTGGTGATAAAATGGTCAGTGAGCAGTAAAATGAATGGTTATAGTTATCACCTGAGAAATGCATCCCACCCACAGCCTGTCTTACTCATACTACATCCTATAACATTCACGGAGCTCCATGGCAAAGGCAGGTGCTCTATAACCACCATCCATTAATGTCTTAGGAAAAAATGGGAGAAGACTACATATGAATGAATTTTATGTACATCTAATAATCCACAGGTATTTTAAATGAATACTCTCAAAAATATTTATCATAAAGGCTCTATGAATTTTATAGAAGAAGCATTATTATTCTATTTTTTGTTTATTATTATACCATCTCTAAAATTATACATTATGTTTCTTATAAACAAGTAGTAAGGAAAACATTTTTATACTAACCATAAAATATATCAGATAGCAAAAATATTTTCTCACTTCATTTTTATTAAGTATTATGTTAATAAGACAATGGGTCTTGACTCTTAAAATTATAACCTTCAGGTCATGGGCTCTAAAGTGCTATCATTTAATGTGATTTCAGACTAAAACTTACCTCAAAAAGTCACAGTAACCATTCCATAGGTCCCCTTTTCCCTGATGAGAGTAAGAGGCACAGACTCATTTCTGCCCCTGGGCTCACTCACTGTGATTGACGAAGGCTATCAGGAAGAATAAAGTCAGTCATTGATCAGAGGTAGGAAGAGGTTAAAAACTGTTACCTTATAATAAATTTTCACAGGAAAATCAATTGACATTGCACTATAGAAGATGGCATTCTTGCCAGAAACTAATGGCCAAGTGTGTAATCCGAAAACTCAGGAGGCAAAGGCAGGAAGATTCAAAGTTAAAAGCAGCCTGACCTACATACTGAGTTCAAGGCAAGTCCGAAAATATATAGTGGGACCCTGTTCAAAACAACAAACAAACAAAAAAAAAAAGAATGTGATATCTCGTGGTTAATAAAACTGCTGAAAAAAATTAAAAATAATAGAGTAAATGGAATATAAAACTAACCAAACTAAAGATGTAGGTTGTTTGTCCTGGTTCTATCACAACTATCTGTTCTGCTCAGGAATTTAGGCTGAAAGATGATACATCAAAATACAAGGCCCAGTATTGGTAACAGAAATGAGTTAAGGCTCCAAATCAAGCAAGTAGCTCACTGAAATCACTACTTGCCATTGCTCCCAAACCTGTTGCCTTGTCATCAGTCAGTTTGTCATTGGAAACTAGACAATTTCTAATGACTCTCAGGACATAACCACTGCCAGAAGAAAAACAGTGAGAACTTCAAATGTTGTAACATGCTAGCATGGCTGGCTGAAACTCAGAGTTGGCAAAGAGAAAAAAGAAAGCACCAAGTACATAATGGCAGCAGTGCCACCTCTCAGGGTGTGTCAAAATCCCCATCCATAAGTGGGGCTGGGAATGCCTGTCCCAAAGTGTTGTGAAAAGATTTCAATGAGATAACTTATATCAAGTGCTTATCCTGCTACCTGACATATACTGAAGGTTCGGCAAATGTTGGCTATTACTATCATCGTCATGCTCATTAGCAATATAACCATCATGAAGACAGGAAACTGAAGCTGGCTTATTGAGCGTGTACTGTGTGAGCTTGAGAGTTACTCAGTTTAATTTTAAGGATGTGAGCCCAAGTTGGAACCTGTTGGAAACTGCTGGTCAGCACTGCGACCAATTCCAGAGACTAGGATTCATTCCTAGAGGATGAGATATACAATGTCCAATAAAAAGAAAAATTAAAGAACAGGGAAAAAATCTTTAAAGAAAATGTGGTATATATACACACAATGGAGTTTCACTAATTCATTTAGAAGAATGAGATTATGTCACTTGTTGGAAAATGGATGGAACTGGAGATCATCGTGTTAAGTGAAATAAGCCAGTTCCACAAAGACAAGTATTGCATGTTTTCTCTTATTTGTGGAAACTATGGGGAAAGCAAAACAAAAAACCAAGGTCAAGAAAATAAAAGCAGACCACTAGGGAGGTTGAAGGGGAAGGGAAAAGGGGAGAGGGGAGGGATAAGAAAAAGTAATAGAAAGGGTGACTATGATCAAAGTACATTATATATATATGAAAATGTCACAATGAAAGTCCTTACTATGCAAATTTAATATACACCAATTTAAAAAATCAGTATGAAGCTGGAGGTGATAAGTTCGAAGGGAATGTAGAAAGAAGGCAGTATGAAAGAAGTTAAACAATTAAAGGAGCCTGCTTCATGATAATTCCCTTTTATTCAAATAGAAATGATTCAGTAATTAGTTTAATTAATGTTTATAAATTTCATACAATGCAGGTTACCAAATAGGTACTAAATTGCAGTTAGCCAAATACTCATTTTAATGAAGATATTGCAACTGTAAAAAATCATATTTACCTAAGCCCACCTTGTTTCAAAGATAACTTAAGGAACTGAGAAGGTGACATGAAATGCAACCAATAGCAGTAGTGTTCTAAATCGGAAAACAAAAAAAAAAGCTTGGAAGTATGGTATCAGATCTTATTAATGATGCTTAGTAACATGATTTAAAAAGACCTGCAGGAAGATTATTATAGCCTAAATCTTAGTGGACAAATAGAATTGTAGTGGAGGGAAAATTTCATTTTGGCTTGAGAAGTGGAAAGCATTTCTCTGGAGGAGGGACTTATTTGACTGTTTCTAAAAATAAAGTCCTCTGAACATGGGATCAATCAGAAGCACAGGAATTTTGTATTCAGGGAAAGAGAATAAATGGCTGAGCAAAATTCAGGGGAAGGATGGAGTTTTAATCTTCACAAAATATGGATTAATAGGAACATCTCAAGGTGGAGACTGACTAGAGAATTTTGAGGAGTTAAAATGTCTGCTACTTAATTTTAAGTTTAACTGTAGGTTCAGTATTCTTTCAATATGTTTTCTCATTTTGCATGTTACTTCAAACATTCAAATGAGTCTGGTAAGTGAACAATGCTTTCTTCAAGAGGCATTTGGGGAAATCAGCAAAAGTTGCCTAGGTACACATCTGAGGTAGAGACCAGCAAATGGAGGTAGCACGTGAGTCACGTGGAATGATCAGCAGAGAGAGATTATGACAGCAATGACCAAGAGCACAGAAGCCTCCTCAGCTTGTGAAGATCTCACAGATAACAAATGGAAGGCACATGGAATGGGATGGAAATATAGTTAAGCAAGTTTTATTTAAATATGAAAACACAGAATGGCACTAGCTAACATCATGAAAACTAATAAAAAATTTTAATGAACTACTGTCTAGTAATTATTAGGATCATCACATTATAACCATACCATATTAAATGAAATAATTCCAAAAAGCATTGTCATTTGATAATATTGTCACAGTAACAGTCCTTGGCCATCCAAGCTTCATGTTTGCTGAAGGCTTCTAAAATGAAAGTCCAAATTAAAATAACAAATATTAGACTAATAATAATAATTTAATACAATTCTGTCTCCAAGTATTATTCAGAATATGAGAAAAAAATACAAATACACTTTTAGTGCAAAGATTAAGAAAGCATATTTAAATTAAGTCAATGTGATAAAGAAGTCCCAAATAAGAATTTTTCAAAATATTTTATAAATCACTGACCACTATTAATAACATGTAATAGTATAATTATAAGTAATCACTGGCTAGTAATACTGCATTATAAATTATGTTGTAACTGCTATGTGTCATTGCTAATACAATAGAATTATATATGTAATATGAAATTCTATTCAAATATGATTTTTTTCCTTACCTATAGACGGTACTGAAACTTAAGAATTAGTCTATAAATCATAGAAGCAAATTAAAGATAAAATATTAAAGCAATTTTTCTTATGAAACTCTTAAGAGTTTTCTACATTTCTATTGATAGTAAAGCAGCATAAAGGAATATGAAAAAAGAGTGAATTATAAAATCAAAACATAACTGCTTCAAGTATCAGTTTCACAAAAATTTTATAATCATACTGACACTATTTTCTAAAAAAAAATTCCCAACGCCCTTTATAAAATTAACTAGAATGGTGTTAGAAGCCATTGCCTCAATCTAATAGATCAAGTCACAAAGCTCAATTAAATTTTAGGCTATTCAAGTTATGCCCCCCATCCCGGCAGCAGTACTCTGAATTTATTCTGAGGCACAGTGACCTCTTCCATGCTTGCTTTTTGTATCCTTCTCTTTTGAACTCAGAAGTCATGGTCATTCATTGTGCACTTGGTAGTTGGGGGAGGGCTTAAAGAGAAAGGGGTCAAGGGAAGACAAGGTTTTCTGCAGCATTTATCATGCAACTCCTAAGAAACTGATTGGACCCACACACTAGTTGTATGATCTTCTAAACAGGATTATCTGAGGGAATAACAAGACCATGAGATTGCCAAACAGATTGTCAGATCTGGTTTCTATGAAAACCACTACCAATCACTTGAATTGGCTTATCTGTAGGTAAAACAGATTTTTAAGTGTTGCAAGATTTTTATGAGTTTAAGATTAAGGGGGAAAGAAGAACTTACTTGTAATGTTAAATGAAAAATAAAAGTTTCATCAGGTTCTGGAAGGTCATCATCACATACTGCTAAGTACACAGTCCTATTTGTTTCTCCAGCAGGTATAAAAGCTGCAGCATATGTGTCAAAAAAGTCACCAGTGTCCTCTCCATACAGCTATCAAAATGCAAAATAAAGGTCATTCTTGCTGAACACAGAATGAAGACAAGTAAATGTGATGCTAATTGGAGCACTAAAATAAAAGCATAAAAAGATGACACTTGATACATGTATTTTATATTAAGGAAGAAAATGAAATTACATAGAATACTAACAATTGCATAGGAAAGAAATGCGGTGATTTTTTTTCCCTGCTCTTAATTAATCTCAAGTAGACTACAGCAAACCTAATCCAGAGACAAACTGTATTTAAGACTCTAATGAAGAAGAGAAGAAAGCAGACTGCCAAAACTATCAGGATAATCAATTCATTTTCCCAATCTGTTTTAATGAAATTGTTCTGCCCAAACTTTCAACCTCAAGTTGTATTTACATCATCCCACAGCAACTCCAGTAAAGACCCAAATCTTTTAGCATCCCAAATCTTTTAGTCATTATAAACTTTAATGTTTTAAGATCTTTATTCTGTAAAATCAGCATTGCTAATAAGATTCAAGAAAATAATAATTATGAAATTAAAAAGAAATAATTTATTATGCAAATCCAAATGAGATTTCTTTTCACCAAGGATCTTAAAATCAATAATATAGTCATTAGGGAAAAAATTATTTTATATAAATAAAAGTGTAGAGCATGTAGGGAAATCTTAGTCAATGTTCAGTTCCAATTTATAAAAATAATTAAGTTTTAAACATTTGAGAAATCAAAATAGTTGCCAAAAGTGTTGGAAAAGTTGTATTGTTATTACAGAAAATAAGTGTTTTTAGAAAGCAGTGTAAAAAGCCCCTGAAATAATCAGAAAAATACAGTATCCAACATATGAAAATTATGTAACAATCCAAAATATGGTAAAATGGGCATGATATAGATAGCTTTATCAGAATAATATTCATAACAGCAAAAACTGGAAGCAACCTCAATGAAAAATAGTTGAGCAGTGATTAGGATACAATGATGGCAGTATCAAGAAAACTGAAAATGACAGAGCAACCTGAAAAATTATTAGGATACAACCAAAATTACATAAAAGATTGCCAAACATACTGTTACACTTGAACTAAAGATAAATTCTACAAATATATAGATACATATAAATAAAAACTAAGCAATGTACAAAATTATAATATTGGATTGTTTTCATAGCTGTTTTTTCTTCTTTTACGATGTTTCATGACATCATAATTGAAACTATTGCTTTAAAAAACTTATTTTTGCAAAAAAAACTTCCAAGTACTTTCAGCCTCAAATAAAGCACTGTATTTAGTGATTATATGACAATACTTCTGGTTTTAGACAGAGATATGCACATAGCTCACACAATCTATTCAAAATTAAATGCATAACATAGATCAAAAGTCTTACAAATTCCACTTAACTTTTAATTAAGTTAATATACATAATTTCTCCCACAGAAAGAACTCTCTAACAGAACATAGGTTTTTTCTATTGCTATTTTCTCTCTTAAAACATTCCTATAATTGTCTAAATAACCCCATAATAACTGTCTAAAACAGAGATGCACAACTCAAATAAAATGTTATTTTTAAATATATATGAACACTTCAAAATTATCAGCCTTTCCCTTTAAAAATACAATTATCAAATGCACATGGGTATATGCAAGCACTCTATGAACCTATAAGAGACACAGTGGAATCCACTTATCCTAATGAAAATCATTTATCATAACAAAACTATTATTCAGAATCTCAAACAGTAAAAAGAAATTCTTGCCATTAAAACTAAGAAATTCATATGTATTAAGTAAGAATAGTACTATAATAACTTCTTACCGATACAACTGCAGTAACCATTTGCTGGCTTCCTATCCTTTCAATGACAAGACGAAATAACTTGTTGTACTTGTTTCATTAACGTAAAATTCTGTTTGCCCAGCAAACCTTATTTTCTGTTTCTCCAAATGCAAAATGAATGAGCAAAGCTGAAAAGAAGATTTACTAATTAAGACGCAGAGGGCACCCTAGAGCGAAAAAAGAAAATTATTTATAAA